CAGCTTACATGATAAGGACAAGAATGACACTCTCCTTTAAAGAAGCGGGTTGGAACCCCAGCTCTCAGAGGGAGCCTTCTAGCTCAGAGTTCATACACTGATTTTCCGGGGATGCCAGCTCTCATCTGGGCCTCCATTGCAGCCCATCAACTTATTTGCAAGTCCCTAAACCTGTTTCCCTTAGAAACCCTTCACTTATTCTCTAACTTGACTGTGTTCAAATTTGGGGGCACAATTTTGAAGGACGAGGGAGAAACATATCACTTCAAAGTAGCCCTCGTCTCAAAATGTGAATCACATACTGGCACTCACTCTTTTGCTCAGGAGCCTCCAGTGACTGCCGGGGAGGACAAAATAGGATTGAATTCTTGTCAGGGCCTTTGAGACCCAGCAATTATGTGGCTGCTGCCTATTTCTTGAAACTACCTTTTTCCACTCTCCTCTGCTCTTGTTCATCCTCCGGCCATGCTGGTCTTCTTGCAGATCCAAGCACTTCCCTGCCCACATCTTTTGCACCTGCCATTTCCTCTGCTAGAAGTGGTCTTTACTGCCACTTTTCCCATGCCCAGCTCATTCTTACTCTTTGCTGAAGCAATTCTCAACCCTTGCTGGGTCCCACCTTCCACCTGAAGGTTTCGATTTAACTGGTCTCAGTTGAGGCCCTGAGAATGGGTGTGATTTATAAGCTGCTCAAGTGATTCTAATGTGCAGCCAGAGTTGAGAACCACTGCTTTAGTTGAAAGATCACCTCCTCAGAGACCAGACCCCTATCTAGAGAGGATGTCTCTCCTGTATGCTCTCTCAGCTCCTTCAGAAGTCACCAAAAGACGTTTTACTTGTTTCCACAGAACAGTGGTTCTCCAAGTGCCTAGACCAGCAGCGTCAGCATCATCTGGGAACGTATTAGAAATGCGAATTCCTAGGCCCCATCCCTGACTCTCCAGGTGACTCAGTGTTCAAGTTTGAGACTTTGCACTAAGTGTAAGCTCTGGGAAGCCAGGACCCGACCTGTGTCATTCGTCCTGCATTCTCATCTAGCAGAGCCACGAGGAGGAGGGGAGGCTCAATAAACCTTTGTTCAATGAATGAGTCACTGATAGCACATTTCTTTTGTCCGTAACCCATATGTGAACTGAAAGCTGAATGAAAGGAGCAAAACAAACTAGCAAAAACCCAAAATACAATGTTTGCTTTATTTCTTAAAATTTTTTCAGGTTTAGTCATAAAACAATTTGTGCATGATTGGATATCTGCTTCTCTCTTTTGTCCAGAAAATTCCACAAATTGGAATATACCTAAAAGGACTTGCCATGCGGACAGGTATCAGTCCATTATTTCCACTGTAGGACTGTGAAGTGAGCTGATTGCTTGAAGGTCACGGATTAAGTCAATTTCCACAGGGGCAGATGTTCGAGAAGTAGAATCATATTGCCCAAGACCTTCCAGCTCTAAAAGGCGGAATCGTGTTATAAAGAATATCGGGCAACACCTAGGCCAACTCTGTACCTTCACTGAGCAGCTTGAGAGAGAACTGGAGAGACTGGGTTGAGATCCCACCAGGAGCCACTCCTTGCCACTGTGTAGCTAAAACCCGTCAATCTTCAGAGCCGATGTGCTTGTCCTCACAAAATCCCATGTACTTTTATGCCTCATTCCCACAAGTTCACACAGTTCCTCTACCAATAAGTTATAGGGAGAGGGCAATAAAAGGTGAATTTCCCAATAACCACCTGGGCCATGACATGGTCCCAGTTTCTGATTGCTCCCTTCCAGCACTCAGCCTGGAGGAGGCAGGGTTAGTGACACCAGTAGCACAGCAGGTGAGCATGCAGGGAGGGGAGGTATTTGGTCATTTCATCCCCCTTTCTGAACCCTGGAGTGGAGAACCAAAAAGCTAGGACCCCATCTAGCCTCCCATCCCAGTGGCTTCTATAGGTTTCAATAAAACTAGCATTCTGAAAATAGGACAATTCATCATGGCAGTAGCAGAAGCAGCTATGACAGCTGATTCCCAAATCCAACAGGGATGGGCCCTGATCTTAGGAACGGCCCCTCATACTCCTAAAAACCAGGCCTGAGCTTTTCTTGGATCATGCCGTTATCTTCCTCTGCACCTTCTTGTACCTACTTTTCCTCAGATGCAGCATAATGTGGAAAACCTCAGGCTCTGAGAGTGCATGGAGTTTTGCTCAAATTCCAGTCCCAATATTTAACAGTTGTGTGACTGTGAGCAAGGGACTTACCCTTTCCAAGACTCGGTGTACTCAGTGAGAAAGTAGGAATGAGAGCAGTAACTTTTTGTAAGGGTTGCTATGGGGATTAAATGAGATAGTGTATGTCAAGGTTCGTGAATGTTAACTGTCATTATCAATCTCCTCCTGTGTTCACTGGAAGTCTCTATGCCTCCTTAGGAAACGATTTCTTGGGGTCTAGAAGGAAGGAAACCACTATTTATCCAGTATCTGGTTGGTGCCTGTGCTGTAATAGATACTTTATAACTACAATGTTATTTACACTCCACAGCAACACTGTGTGATAGTTACTGTCATCATCATCATGTCACCACTATTGGATAAAGAAACAAACTCAGGGGCCAGCCTTATGGCGTAGTGGTTAAGTTTGGTACACTCCACTTTGGCAACCCAGGTTCCGTGGGTTTGGATCCAGGGGGTGGACCCACACCACTTGTCAGTCATGCTGTGGTGGTGACCCGCATATAAAGTGGAGGAAGATTGGTACAGATATTAGCTCAGGGCTAATCTTCCTCAGCAAAAAAGAAAGAAAGAAACTCAGAGCTTAAGTGACTTGTGAAAAAAACATACAACTAGTAAGCAAACCATAAGGAGCCAGGAATATGGCCTCCTGACTGTGCTATGATGCTTTTCAAAGAGAAAATGCCTTTCTTAATATGCCACAGGCTTTTTGCAACCTGTCATAGAAATGTCAAAAACAATGTTAGGGAAAGAGAAATTAATGGAAATCTACTTCCTCTTTAAGTATAGGTTGGACATGCTACAAAGATAGGCACGTACATACCATAATTGCAGCTGGGATATTCATTTACCATGCCACTATATAGTAAGTAAACTTAAAAAATATTGTTTAACAAGAGGATATCTTTGTTAAAAGTCTTAAATATATGTATTTTTCACTTAGCTATTCTTCTAGTAGTTCTGTCAATGGTAATAATCAGGCAATGTATACAAAAGAATGCAGGTGACAGTCTTGTCATATAACCATAAAGAAAGAAAAACAAAATAAGAAAACTAAATGTCTCACTGTACAGAACTGACTAAAATAAATTATGTAAAACTACATAGTCACTAAAAGTGATTTATCATTAGAAATGATATCTAACTCATATATCTAACATATATTATTCAAAATGTTTTAAATAGAAAATTAGATTAGGATATGGTTTATAAAGTATGATAGCACTTATAGAAAATTACATTTGTAAAATATATTTTAAAATGATGTAATTCTAGAAGGGTCTATATTAATAATGATTGCCTCCTGGGTGACAAAACTATAGAAAATATGTATTATTTAATTTCTGCATATCTGTATTTCTAAGAATTTTTCTTTAATAATACATGTTACTTTCATAATAAGAGGATAATCTCTTAAAATATTGCTTATGTATTATCAAACACACACTATTCTGTTAAACTTTCTTTTTTTTCTGCTATTATCATCTCATTTTCCCCAAGAAAATCCAAATAACTCTATAAACCACAGTGCTCTCACTTATTTTTGAAGATGATAGCAATAATTAGGGTCAAGCTGTTTGCTAAGAATTCTGGACCTAAAGACCCAGTTTGGAGACACTAGAGGGACTTTTGAGCCCCAGCTTGACTGGTGGCTGCCTGCCTCTCACATGTGTGGCTACAGGAAGGGTCATGCTCTCTCATTTCCTCCACCACTGTGCATTCATCTCTGCTATGACTCTGCAACTCTGCCCGCATCTCTCCTTCTCCCTCTCTCCCCCATGGCAAGGTCACACTCTCTCCCTTCCACACTTTCCCCCTTCTGCCTCTAGCGCTTCCTGATCGCAAACACATCCCATGAACCCTTTGCCCTCTCTATTCCAATGCCTGCAGCACACTCCCTCCCCGGCTGAGTCCCTGTAGCAGTCATTGTCTCAGTCTTATCTTCTCACTGGGAGCTGGCAAAGGAAGTAATCCTCTCCATAAGGAGAGCAGGGATAAACCAGTCTCCAGTCTTCTGGGGCTGGGGAGTCGGGGAGGGGGTGTGTGGGATAAAAGTTGGCTCTCTTTTAGACTCTGGGAGCACGAGACACAAACATGTAGAAGAACGCAGCCAACTTTTACAGAGAAATAATATGAAACTGTGTAACAGAATATTAACACTGTAGTTCAGCTACATTATGAGTTAAGCTAGTTTTTATGGTCCAACTGGGAACACAGTCACTATTTTAAGTGTGCTCCAGATAATGACTTTCAATTAACTTTGGCAATATAACCTGTCCCTAAGGTTTGGACTATTTGGGGCTTTATTTGCTTCTCTTAATTAAAATAATAAAATGCATTTTTTAAACAAAAAGCTCCTTTTGTAAAATCTACTCTGTTGTCAAAATGGCACTCATCATCAGCAATATTGCCCTGCGCGTATCATTGGAGTTCTCTTCTGGGATCCAAAGTGCTCAGAATAGAAAACTTGACTGCTGGGTCTGGCACCCAGCTAGCTTAAGAGGCAAAGACAAAGAATGCGGCTTTTCTTTCTGGAAGGCATAGCTCTTCCTCTGTTCTGAAGTCTCGAATCAGAAAAGGGAACTCCTGAAGCCATAGTCTTTCAGCTATACTGGTATAATAAAGACTCAGCAGCTTTATTAGCAAATGGAACAACAGTTGGACAAGCAAAAATTCCAAAGGCTTGGAGGACCTGGTGGTGAAGCACCCCCACCCCTCTCTGCTCCAGGTAGAGAAAGTTAGCTGTTTCCCAGGAAACCAGGGAGAGTCATAAAATCTATCACTTACCATTCTTTTTGAAAAGAGTTGATGTGCCTGGCACCCAGCGACCTCGAAGATGCTGTAACGCGGACAGTGAATGTGCAAGTTAGCTTTGCAGAGTATACTTCCTTTTTTGAACTGTGTGGTCTGTCCAGCTTTCACACATTGATACGTGAGAGTTATTTGCATATTATCTCAGTCCTCAGAGTATTTGTATAACTGGCCAGGTTTATCTAGTTATCACACTTTAATAATATGCGAGCAGGTACAGGTGATACTTTGAAGTCTGAGAGATTAACACAGAGTTTTTAAAAAAGTGCCTGGATATTAAATTCTGTGTACATTATTATTATTTTTTTTAAAGATTGGCACCTGAGCTAACAACTGTTGCCAATCTTCTTTTTTTCTTCTTTTTCTCCCCAAATCCACCCAGTACCTAGTTGTATATTTTAGTTGTGGGTCCCTCTAGTTGTGGCATGTGGGATGCTGGTTCAGCATGGCTTGATGAGCAGTGCCATGTCCATGCCCAGGATCCGAACCGGGGAAACTCTGGGCTGCGGAAGCGGAGCGCTCGAACTTAACCACTTGGCCACGGAGCCGGCCCCCTATCTTCATTATTAACCTGTTTTATATCAAATCAGTATTTGTGGATCGATCGATCTATCTATCTATCTATCTAACTATCTATCTGTGAATGAAGGGCCCATTCTAAAATGTTAACAGTGGTTGACTTGGATAGAGAAATTATTACAAATAATTCTTGTTTTGTACTTTGCTGACTTTTTGACTTTTTTGAGTACATAGTACTTGTTAAAAACATCACTATGATCTTAAAAAGACCGAAGGATTGTGATAATTTTAATTAACAATTCCAGATGTATTTAAACCTATCTCACCAATATGTAAATAGTAACAATATTTGTAAGTTTATCATAGGATGTCATTCATTTCACTGAAAATACAAAGTGCCTGTCAATCTAGGTTCATGTGTTAATTTTTCGGTAATACTTATTTTCATCCGATGCCTCCATCTCTCACATTGATGAAGGAGATATTAAGATATTAAGCGTATGGTATTTGATCCCCAGTAGTCGGATTTTGCACCAATCGTCCATAGTACCTCTCTGAAAACATTCAGGTACACAGAATTTTCTCCTTTATTTTGAATATATAACCTGATACTTTAGTAATTTCAAGGGCAGAAATTCATCTTTCTTTCTCATTGCAGAGGAAAGGCAACCAATTGCTTAACTTGGGGTTGCAAATTTCTAGATCTTTTTGTAAGGACTCCCACCTTCACCCAGTAGAGGGGCACCAAATTTCTTCACTTGATGCCGAGCTGATACTAATCACGACTATAACAATGCAAAATTCTTTATTAAAAAAGATGTTTCCTACTATTTATTCCTTAAAATGAAAATGTTTTTCAAAATCAAGATGCGATTAGAAATATGGGTAGAATTATTGCCGGGACAAGACAGGGAGGCAGAACAGGGCCGAGTTCCTGGGGTTAGAAAGGAACCTGACGTTACCTTGAAACTTGCGGGGGTTTTAAAGAGAGGTGGGTTGAGGAATAATCAGGAGCCAGATGGGTCATCAGGAATCTGAAATTGCACAGTCTTTGGCACACAATAAATGCTCAGTGAATGAATGGAGGAGGATGATCAAGGCAAGGCAGGTATAGGAACCAGGCACCCTTCTAGATATAAAACATTGGCTGGAAAAAGTCCTTGGAATGGAGACATTCTTTAGCTCAGCCAGAAAGCCTCTTCTCCACTGTCTGCTGGCGCAGAAATTATCCCAGGGCAGGTGCGGCTCAGGGCCTAAAGCAGTTGCTCTCAATCTGGCGCTCATTAAAATCACCTGGGAAGCTTTTAAAACTCCCAGTTCGCAGGCTTCACCCCAGACTTTTAAATCAAAATCTCCAGGTTTGAGACACAGGCTTCAGTATTTTTTAAAGTTTCCCAGGTAATTCTAAGGTGCAGGCAAGCCTGGGCTCGAAAAGGAGAAGCAGGTGACTCATACGATGAGGTGGTGAACAGATCACCAGGCAAGCCTTGTCAAGAGAAATAATCCTGATGCTCTGACATTGTTAGGACTAAGTTTAACAAGGGATTTTCACCATGTGCTACATGATTACTTATTCTTGGTGATTCAATGATTTTCTCTCTGTACCAGTAAGTTGGACAAAAATTCCATTATAAATAGAAATCTAGCACTTTCTACTAACAATGTAGCCAACTGGACAAGCCTCTGGTTAGACAACTTCAAATTTCTACTCATTCATTTGAATTCCATTTCAACTTGTGTTTATTTCTAAATGCAGATTAAGGTAATTTTTAGCTATTATTGACATAAATTCAGCAGTCTCTCCAACACATATATTTAAGAGAAGTATTTTGGCTAAGAAAAAACAAGGGCTGAAGCATCCAACCATAACTCATAAGCCACCAATAAGTTTTTATTTTTGGAGCATAATCACTACTTTAAAAAAATATATATCAAATATCACATACGTGAGTACATTTCCTGTGAAGTCAATTAAGTACATCAGTCCCTGAGCAGGAAAATGAAACAGGAAATGCAATGAAGATGACAGAAAATATAGTGATACCATCTAAAGAAGATGAAGATATTTTCGCGGTATGGGCACTGCAATTATTTCTGCTAGTGGAGGGAGAAGTAGCTCAGAGAATGCAAAAGTGGCTAGAATTCTTCAAATACTTGGGCGTGTTTTCTTTTTGTAAATTTGCATTCTAGAACACTGCTTTTGTTTAGGCAATGAGTCTGCCCCTCTGGCGTTTATTGAAGGTGACAGCAAGGTGGTGACAGGGAGGCCCAGAGACACTGAGTGACTTACGAAAACCAGCTTCATTTTTTTTTTTAAGTCAGTTTATAGGAAGATGGAGGGAGACAGTACTAGTGAAAATTTAAGTAACATTACTTACTCATCGTTATTTACAAGCATTGTCAGTGTTATGTATCAGGCATTGAAAGGAGCCTGGTTAAAATTGTCAGCATAGAGAGTTAGAAATGCTCGTAAACTCTTACACAATTTCAGCTTTATAACCTGAATGCTACCATTTTAGGGAAGAAGCAAATGATCATCTACTTCATGTGCCCAACACTAACATGCCTGGACAAGACCCCTGAGATAGGAGAACAGAGAGATGTTGAGTCTCACCTCTTCCAGGAAGCCTTCTCTGCTGCTTGCTCACTCATCTCTTCCTTTTTCTGGACTTCTGTAGACCAAACCACCGAAGTGAAGTTCTTCTATATGGTTGCCTTTTACGGTTTTCCCATTGTATCGTCTGCATTAGGTTTGGCTCCTTAACTAGATTTGAAACTCCTCCAGTGCAAATTAATTTTCATATTTTCTTCTGTCACACTAAGATCCTAGAGCAGCTTTTATTTTTTGAAATGTTTTTTGGCTCATGTGTTCCTTTCAGAATCTGATGAAAGCAGCATACGCTTTGCGTACAAATTCTGCGTGTGTACAGCCTCCCTTGAAACCCCTCATTTATGGGAAGCTGTAGGAGAATTCTTGGCTAAAATATTGTCAAACAACTAGGAGATGGTCACTACATTGCTGCTTTTTGATGATGAAATGAAAGCACAGAAATGTTAAGTGACCCCTCAAGTTTCCAGACTAGGAAACTGGTCAGCTAAAACTTCATTATTTTGTAAACTTGTCACTTTTTATCAACATGCTTTTGAACTGTGCCAGCCAAAAACAACTCAAACTCACAAAATGGATTCATAGAAATTAAAGGAAATTCTAGTCTCTCTGCTTTGATAGATATGGAATAGCCAAATGGAAAGTAGTGGGAAGAAAGCAGGATAAGAACAGCAACGCTTAAAAAGGTCATGCAGGAGGAAATGGGGAGTTCCTGGATTTGGCTCATTTCTCTTTCACTTTTTGTTTTGAAAACAAAATGGATTTTTTTTCACTCTTGTACTTTTTAGTTTTGATGGAAGAAGGCCTTAACTCTTTCAGAACATCAACGTTCAGGAAGAAGTAACTTATTAATCAACTTCAGTAAAAAATTAACTCATCTTCCAGGAAAAGGAGAGTTCCCACTATATTTCTGTAGGATGAGTAAATTGTATTTAAACTCAAGGACGGCAAGGAACAATTGTCTTTAAAATTTAAACCCAACCCCAGAAAATGTTTACTAAACTGTAGAAGAACTGTTGAAATAGGACAATGGAGAAATAATCTAAACTTTACTTACGGAGTCTTTTATCAAACCAATTAACTTGAAGAGCCGAGACAAAGAACAAAACATGGAATTCTATGTTATATATCTATTTACATATTACTCTCTTTTGCTATTTGGCTATAATTTGTGTCTCACCCGGTCTTGGCTTTTGGGGGACTTAGAAGGCTCTGCAGGACTCTGTTGAGTCTTGATATTTTCTTCTTATGGCTTTTGTTATTCTCTTTTCATGGCTTCTCACTTCTTCAGTCCTTGTATACTCCTCTCAGAAGCAGCATCCAAGTTGGAATTCTTCTATCTCACTGGGTCTCAAGACAAGGAGATTTAACTGACATCATCAAACTGACACACCCTCATTGGATTGGTAATGGCTCTTGACAATTTGTTAACGATGATTTGCACTTGAATGAATGAAAGGAAAGGTATTACATGAAAAATCCATCTTTCCACTTTTCCTTTTGTCCTTCCTCATTCATTCGTTCATTTATCCATTCATTCATTCCCAGTTTCCTTCCCAACAGGAAGGTTAGGCCAGAAAGTTTGGAAAATAAACAGGAGCACATTGAGATTTTATAGACTCAGAGAAGATGACCAGGGGAATGGATCTCTCCACCATTCTTTGAGTTCTTCTTCTTTCTCATTGTCAATTAATTGCAGGTGTGAACATATTCATTTTCCCAGTCTGTTGTATGTTTAATTTTAAAATAGGAATATTTCCATTTCTGTGAAGGGTAAATATTGATAAAGCTTTACACTTTTTTGAACTTTGAGAATAATCTATTTAAAAACATCTCCAGATTTTACTTTTTTTGAGTTTTTTTCCTTCTTTGCTTTTGCACCTTAGAATCACTCTATTCTCTCCCTTTGCAAAGTTACTCAATCTAGTCTTTTTTATATGCTATTGCTCAAATTAAGATTTGTTTGCCTAAATACAGGAAGTCTACCTAAATACAAAATTATTTATGACTTAATACAAATTAGTCATACATGACTGTAATCTAGTGACTATTTTCTTTTTGGTCAGAAGAATAAGAATGTTTCTATTTTCAATTCTATAGTACCTTTTGGAACTTAATACCGCTACTTAGTAATGATACAAGGAGGACTTAGGAGTACCTATAATGTAGCTATGAAAACAAACTTATTAGAACACAACTTGTGAAATGATTCAATGTCATACTGACCCTCTTTTCTCTTGACCATTCCAAGAGGGTTAAAAAAAACCACTGATGAACAAATGATACTAGGAAAACTGGATATACAGATGCAAAAGAATAAATTTGGAGCCTCACCTTATACTTTTAACTCAAAATGAATCAGATCTAAACATAAGAGCTAATAAAACTATGAGACCCTCAGAAGAAAACATAGGAGAAAAGTTTCATGACATTGACATTGGATCCAATAATTTCTTAGATATGTCACCAAAAGCACAGGCAACAAAAGGAAAAGTAGATAAAGTGACTTCATCAACATTAAAAACTGTTTGTTCATCAAAGAACACTATCAATAGAGTGAAAAGGCAACTCCCAGAATGGGAGAAAGTATTTGCAAATCATATATCTGATAAAAGATTAATATTTAGAATATATAAAGAACTTCTACAACTCAAAAACAAAAAACCAACCTGATTAACAAATAGGCAAAGGAGTTGAATAGACATTTCTCCAAAAAAGATGTACAAAGGGCCAATAAGGACATGAAAAGATGCTCAACATCATTAATCATTAGGGAAGTGTGAATCAAAACCACAATGAGATATCACTTTACACCTGTTAGGATGGCTATTATACTCAAACCCAAAAAACAAAACCAGAAAATAGCAGGTGTTGGCCAGGATGTGGAGAAACTGGAACCCTTGTGCATTAATGGTAGGAATATGAAACGATGCAACTGTTGTGGAAAACAATATGGTGGTTCCTCAAAAAATTAAATATAGAATAAAATATGATTCAGTAACTCCACTTGTGGGTATATACCAAATAGAATTAAAAGCAAGGACTCAAAGAGATATTTGTACTGCCGTGTTCACAGCAGCATTATTCCCAACAGTCAAAAGATGGAAGCAACCCAAGTGTTGACCATTAGAGGAATGGATAAACAAAATGTGATATATATACACAGTGGAAATTATTCAGCCTTAGAAAGCAATGAAATTCTTGAAGATATTACACTAAGTGAAATAAATCAGATGCAAAAGGACAAGTGTTCTATGATTCCACTTCAATGAGGTACTTAGTCAAATTCATAGAGACAGAAAGTAGAATAGTGATTTCCGGGGGTGGGGAAGTAGGGAATGAGAGTTATTGTTGTACTTAATGCCACTGAACAGTACGCTTAAAAATAGCCAAATGGTAAATTTTATGCAATGTTCATTTTGCCACAATAAAAATAATTACCCCTTAAAAAAAGTTACTGAGCCTACTAATTATTTAGAGGTGAATACTAAGCCACTCTGCTATATACCATTATCTTCCATTTTCAGATTTAATCTTCTTGCCCATCTAATATCACAACAGTTAGAGTCAGATTTGGAGGAATTTATATCAGTGGGCTTGCATATAACAATGGTAACAGCTGCCATTTATTGCTTGTCTTTTAGATGCCAAGGTCATTATATGCATTATCTCAATGAACCAACGTAACAGTTCTATGAAGGAGATATTATTACCCCTGGGCATGTCTTGGGGCTTAGTAACGTGTCTATTGTTAAATAACCATACCCTTCTCTTCTCTTGGACCATTTCACTGCTCTTCGCATGGTAGTGGATAATGATCATGAGAAGGGAGTGGAAGGGCCAGGGGGTGGTGGTGGGCAGAAAGATAGATGTTTGTCCTGTGAATTATTTATGTGTGTGTGTGTGTTACCAAACCAGGTTCATTTTTGCCCGCAGCCCAGAAAGCCAAACACCGAGACGGCAAGATTGCAACAGAGAGAGAGTTTAATCACAAAGCAGCCATGAGAGGAAGCGAGAGCATGAGTCTCAAATTCACTTCCCCGAAAATAGGGACTCAGGGATATTTATGGGATGGGGGGCAAGGTGGTCCGAAATGTGGAGGTAAGTGATTGGAGGTGAGGTAATTGATGATCTGTGCAAGTGTAGTCAGACTCTATGCCTCTTCATAGGACCCATGTTCAGAAAATGGCAGTACTGGCATGATCTGAGGGTGGAGTTTTTAGCCTCTTAATGTCAAAAAGTCGCCTATGGAACATCTCTGTGGGCCCAGTTGATGAGTTGGTGGTCTCGACAGGCCTGAAGTGGACAAGGAGTTCTAATTCCTGAAAAACAGCTCACACACCCCTTACCGTGGTGACCCAGGCTCCAGGAAGGTGTTGTCTCTAGGAGGCTAGTGGGAGTCAGGTAGCATAGTGCCTAAGCAGCACAGTCAACAATGGGCGGGTTAAACAGCTAAATGCCGTAATCAGTAATTGAAAAGGAAAAAACCTTCAGTACCTAGATACTTAATCACCAATGGCTGTTTGCCCGTTTCATGTGAGAGAGAGAGAGAGAGAAAGAAGGAGAGAGAGAAAGAGAAAGAAAGAGAGAGGGAGAGAGAAAAATAGAATGAAAAAGAGAGAGAGAGAGGAAGAAAGAGAGAGAGAATCATCTCCTTTTTGTTTTAAATCAACTAAGCTGAGACTAGTCTTTTATCCACCATTCTGGGCTATTTTTCATAAATAATTACTATTGGGGAACTGACTCAGAGGCTGCTGTTATGGGCTGTTGTGTGCAGTGTCTTGCTGTGTACACAATCAAATGACCTTGGGGAGACAATGATGTGAGGCCAGGTGTACACTGGCAGTCAGCAGGCATGTGTTGACTGTCTACCATGTGATCAGCAGAATGAATAAGCAACCTGAGTTTTAAGTATATAAAAGGAAAAATGTAAAAACGTAGCAATACTGTGAAGCTTCTTTTCCCATTAGGCCCAAGGGAATCTGAATGCATGCATTCAGCTTCTCCAGGTCCTTTTGATAACGACTGAGGTTCAGTATAATAATCTGAATGTACGGTCTGAGTGTCAGAGAACTATTTTCCCCACATGTCCCTTTCCTTGAATTGTGATGTGCCCCCTCAGAGAGCACGTGGGGGTGACAGAACACACTCTGTCTGTCGGACTAAGCTACGACTTCCCTTCTCAGGAGCCTGTTTTTTCCAAATCACAATTCAGGCTGAGCCGTGTAATGCCTAGCAACTGGGAGGTACTGATCTCCCCGAAGTTCTGGTGATTCTTCCTCGGTTTAGGTCCAGAGACTTTCCTCTCTGTGCTAACTCCAGTTGGGCAGATCTGGTGTCTCAATGGTGCACCCTGCTGGAAATGCTCTACCAGATACGCCACCTAAGAAGGAAGTTGGAGGATCTCGTCATCAACTTGCACTCTTGCCCCCAATTCTAGTAGAAAAGACTCTGATAAACATTAAGCCGATCCTGGGGGTTCAGCTCTTTTCTTGTTTGACATTTGTAATTCACAAGCGCGCAAGGAATTCTCAGTAGTTACTAGGATAACTCCTCCTGGATCCACATGCTCTTAGAACATCAAAAACTCTCTCAACAGTGGATTTTCTAAGAGTAGAGTTCAGTATTTGTATGCATTTAACAAATCCTAGTTCTTTCTGATTCACCCAGACTTCTGGGCGCAGGGAACAGGAATTCTCTTGAGCTCCCAGGGCTATTTTAATATCCTAAATGACCTGGCACTTTTATTCTTAGAGCACCATTTCCATATCATACTTTAAAATGCATCTGATATCCAATAATCTTGTTCTTTGCTGTTAAAAATAAACTTGAAAATTATTTTTAAAATTGTGCTTTTGAATTTAATTGCTAATAAGTAATTTATTTACTGTGATTTCTCAGCATTCATGTGCATTCTTGAAAATTTCTGCAAAGTGAGAAAAACACTTAAATGTATTCATAAATGCATCAAATGTTTATTAATAATAAGAATAACAATGAATGAAGCTGACTTGACACATGTTGACATTTAATTAAACATTTGTTAATTTTGATTTTGCATTTTTCCCTTTGTGTTTTGGCCCCTTTTTTTCCTTTTATTTTCTTTTTATAGGGTTCTCAGACCTTTTCAAAAGCTCTCAGGTCTTAAGTACTATACTATCTAATGGATAAAATTGTGCAGCCAGTTAATCATCTTCTTATGTGGGTAGCCTCCCTTATACAATTCATAAAGCTAGATATTAAGTTGGATCATATGAAATTGCTGGTTTTTTTGTTGTGGTGGTTAAATATGACTGAATAGAGGCAATTTCACATGATTTAACCTAATACATCTTGGTTACAAATACAAAATGGTTTTTCCCTTGGAGACGTAGAGCTAAAGTGGAGAGCTAAGACTAATGAGCAGAGTGCTGTGCCTGTGGTGGGTGCCCGGTAGTTACTTGCCCAATGAATGCATGCCCGTGTCAACAAAATGACCAAACAAGACACAACTATGTAAACAAGAGAGAAAGCAAATGGCACAGACTCGTGGTAATGGAATTGGCAGAAGATATTAACCATACAAAGCACTTTGGTAATTACTTTAAAGTGTTTTTAACCAACATCCTCTTTTAAACTTAATTTTGTTTTGTTAGCAAGAGATTGGCATTGCCTGTGGGAGAAAGCAGTCCTGGCATATTTCAGCGCTGACGCTCCTTATTAGGGAATTAAAAAATGGAAACATCATAGAAGTTCAAGGAGGAAAAGAAGCATTGTGGATCTAAGAGAGAGGAGACTTCAGACATTGGCAGGATTTTCACGAAGCTTATTGCTTTTCATTTGGCAGCAAGAATTATCTCCAAGGGCAGGGTCTTAACTTGGAAGGTCCTGATGTTTTTCTTTCCATACAATCCCAGGGAAGCAACAGCTCTGTTTTTCTGGTCTGGCCATCCTAGAGAAAACAAAAGATTATCAAGTTTTAGTGATTGATAGGACTTCAACTTTGAGTTCATCCACCTATCCATTTATTCATTGCCTTATCCTGTTGCACCGCCATGTGCCAGATACTGTCTAGGTGCTGGGAATAGAATGAGGTTTAAGATATAAGACACATTTCCAAACTAGAGGGGATATTTGTCTTGTGTAGGGAGAGTAAATGCGATCAGTACTAGAAGAGCAGAGGGAAAAGTGCTCAGGGAGCATAGAGAGAGAACTGATTCCTATAGAAATTGGAGGAGATTTCACTAAAGAGATGTTAATTAGCCTGAGTCCAGAATAGAAATTTTCAACTCTGGGTGTAGATTAGAATAACCAGAGGATTAAAAAGAGAGAAAGAAAAGAGAAAAAGAACCATGCCCAGGCAGGATCCACGACAAAGGTTCTGGTTTTATTGACTTGAGATAATCTGTTTTGTTTTATTTTTGATTTTGTCCTTTTAAAAAAAATCTAACCAGGTAAATATAATGAGCAACTAGGGTGAGAACCACTGGTCTAGAAGGAGTAGAAACAGAGAAGGTGAATGAAGGAGAGTGAGGTTGAATTGGTTGAGGGAAGAGAAAGTCAGAGTGCATTCCACTTTAAGTAAATAGTACATAAAAAGAAAGATGATGTGCTAAGGTTTTCAACCTCATGATGGGGGTAGGCCCAGTTTAAGTGGGAAGCTGAAACTGAACATTCTGAAGAAAATTGGATGCCTGTAAGAACTTCCTTAAGGGAAAGATTCAACAAGAAAGATTTCACATGGTCTAGTGTCTCAGCGAGGAACTGGTGGCCCATCATTGGTCAGGTACGACAAGTCAACCAGAAGATACTAGTGGCCTCAAAAATGCTATATATATAGAAGGAGAGAATTTGATTTCCATTATCCATGAAACACAGAATGTGGAACCTGAATCAAGAAATTTACATAAAAAACTGGGTGCAAATGGATGAAAACAGCAAGGCCTCCCAAGAAGTAAACTAACCCTAGAAATACCTTCACTACCCAGAGTCAACAGAGTTCCCACGGGAAAGAATTTCTGCTAAAGACCAATGCTGTGGTCTACTTACAAAAATTACTAAGTACTCAAGGAAGAAAAAATGCCACGAGAATGAGTAAGCAGACTAAACAGACAAAGAATTATAGTGCCGAAACTGTATATTCTGGAGCAATCTGAGAGGGACTTCCATATGAACATGCTTAACATATTCAAAGAGATAAAAGTAGGGGAAAAAAATCCAGTAGGCTAGGAAATAAAAATAACAGACTTGAGAAAGAACCAAATAGAAATTTTAGAAAAATAATTTTTTAAAAATTCTCAATAGATTGGTTAAAGGGTAAACTATATGTACCTGAAAAAACAGAACTGGAAAATTCGAAGTTAGAGCTGATGAAATCACAGAGAATGTTGCTGAATATTCCACGTAGAGAGAGATGGGTAGAAAACAGGGGTGCTGAGTGCCAACAGCAGGGAGTTTTGGAGCATGCAAATGCTTTTTGGAATAGAAATCATTAGAGCGACACTTTAGATAGATGAGATGTGAGCTAGAGGAGCATATATTTCTAAGTCAATTATCCCAATATTGAAGACAAATTCTACCATGTATATTGTTACCATATTGCTGAGTTTCTAAGTGTGTTTGCTGAGAGGGCAAAAGACATTCTTGTAATATTAAAATTTTTGTTGTAAGAGTTGAAATTATGATTGAATGATAAAACCGAGGCTGAGTCCTTATTTGAGGAAACTACATGATTGTCTCAGAAATTTTGTTGTAGAAAACTGTTCAATCAAAAATGTAAGCTATGATTTCTATAGGAAATTAACCTTACTAGTTAATCTTGTGATAATTAACACTTGAGCTAATCTCATTTATCTATTAGGATTCTACTTAATTCTACCAGAATGAAAGACTAAGCAGATCCTCTTAGTCTCAGAAATAAGGCTAAAGTCACTCTTCCTCGTAAAAAGCAAAATATGATTTCAGATGATTAGCTTAAAACTGCAGAATCTCAGTTTTCTGAAACACTAGTAAAGATAAAATCGCAAAATTAAAATTCAGTAAATATCATTCACGTAAATTTTAAAAACATCTAAAACAACATCGATTTATTTTTTGTACTTATATATTTAGTACAAGTACAAAAATATGGACTGGTGGGATGCACACTAACAATGAAAGTGATGTGTCTGAGGTGTGTGGGAGAGAGGAGTGGCACCCGGGCTTTGGAGGAAGAGGATGTAATGCAAAGTATCAGTAATTGTCTTTCTTATAAAGGGGCTCTGAAGTATTTACGCATATGTATATGTATGCACACACACACATACACAGTCTGAGTACTATATATGGATATATAAAGTATATTTGGTATACATGTGTTTAGCATTTGTTAATTCTGGATGATGAGTAGCTGGATGTTTGTTATATTCTGTAAACTTTTCTCTTTATATGAACATTTTGATAATTTAAAAGTAATACAATCATTACAATTTAATATTTGCTTATAATTTTGTTTAAATATAAACATAGAAGTGTTAAAACTGCATGCTAAATGACACGTAAAAACTGATTTGTCCATTTTCACTATTCATCCCATTTTTATTCCCTGTTTACATAGATAATCTAGCTGTTTAGGACAAATTAATTCAAGAACTAGTTTTTAAATTAAATAATCCCAGAATGCATATTTTTGTTCTTAATAATTTCAAATAAGTTGTTCTCACCTTAAGAGATCTTTTTCTTTCCGGTTTCACAGGCAATTCCCTCAAATGCGATTGGGCAAGAGCACAAACATTGTCCGTCCATCTGAATCACTGTACCTCCATTTTGGCAAGGATGGCATTTTCTTACACTGAATTCATTGATATAATCTTCAATGGCTCTTTCCAAATTTTGTTTCTTTTGGTGTGCGTCTTTCATTTTCACTGGAATCAGATTATATATAGGAGACAGCTGCAAGAAAGCAAAACATTTAATTTGAGGTCTTTTTCTACTGATGGAACTTGTGGAACATCTTCACTTTATTTATTTATTGGTTCATTAATTCAACAAAGGTGTATTGAATGTTGTTGCCAGATATGATGTTAGCTTTTAAGACTGTACTAGAGATCTCATGAAGATCACATTATGCAGGTAAGAAGACTGATACTAAATAATCTTACAGACAAACTTAAAATGGAAACTTTGATAGTGCTACAAAGGACGGGTATACATGTTTCAAAATTGAGCAATCGTGGATTTAAACTTTTGGCAGGATAATTTATTGACATACTTATTGTGAGTTGTTTCTGCTGCCTTCTTCCCTCCTCCCCTCTTCCAGAAGGTAGCCAGGTGCTTGCCATCTCTTGTCTAAAAGGAGGTTTGTGTGCAAGGCCAGGTCCAGAATGCCCCTGAAGGCAAACTTTTTATTAGCTTTTTTCTCTAAAAGCCTAAATTCATTGAAACATTTTCGCTGGGAGGAGTGTGGGTAGAACGCCACGGAGGGAGGTATTCCTCCAGACCAGGGAAGGGGACAGAATGAGTATGTACTGCAAGTAGCAAGAAACCATAACTAAATCTTTAGCAGCTATTTTGGGAAGTCACAAGCCCTGTGGGCTGCCTCTAGGGAAGCTGGATATCAAGGACCAGGGCTCCAGTTCTATCAATGATTCTCATGCACCATCTTGGCATGGAAGGCTTGGAACCACTTGACTCCTAGTGAACAAGTGAGCTTGAACAACGAGGTTATCAGGGTGACCGCAACGGACTAAATTCTTACATGTATCATATCCCCATTTCCCAGAAAGAAGCATCAGGATTCTCATACTAATTTAGACAATGAGGAAAGATCTCCCTGAATCCCATCCAACACATAAATGAAGGATAAATTTTCCAGCAACTTGAAGGGGTGGGATCTCGAAGTCAAATTTAATTAGACTTAAAGAAAATGAAGTAAAATGATTTATTTTGCACACAAATTCCTGGAGCAAGATACATAGTTGCTAGAACTGAGTCAGGAAAGCTTGGAAAGGCTTTTCTAAGAAAATGACTATTAAACTGAGATTTGAAGGTGTTAAGGCAGAAAGAAGAGTATTTCAGTCATACAATGCAGAATTCAAAAAGTTTTTTAGTGGAGGGACCATAATACATTTAGAAAACTTGCCTCATATATCCTTGTAATTTAGATAAATTCAACTGTGTGACTATAAAGAACTGTTTGAGTAAATAAGTTGTTAGAAATCGAGGGCCTTTGGTAGAATAGCACTTTGAAATAAGAGACCACAAAATTTAAAAGAAATTGGAATCTAAGGACTCAAGAAAGAGGAGATAAAAATATACCACAAATTCCTGCAAAAGACAGGAACTTAATAACAATTAAATAATGTCAACTAATCCTTCTTCTGAGCATAATGAGAAAAGTTGGACCAAAATTAAAAATGTGCATGACAGCCCTGGAGAGCTAACCAGGTAATAAAGAATGACCAGGCTATGATCCGGGAGGAGATGGAAATTCATTGAGGTGAGCCTGGTATTTTTGGGCCACCAGTCCCCTTGACGCATTTCCTAATTCAGGAAGAGGCAGTCAAGAGGCTAAGAAGCAGAAGAGCACATTACTGGACTGGGGAAAAAAGGTGGGAATTCAGGGACAACAAAGGTAAACAAGTTGTGCTTTGGGTTCGACCCAAAGGCCTACAGCCCTAGAAGGAAGAAGGAACCAGAAGTGGGGGAAGCCTGGAAAAGACTGCGGCCTGGTTTGGATTAAAGTGATCCTGAATCATTAGTACCAGAGAAGCTTTCCAGATGTAAATAAATACTTTCTTTGGAGGAAAATAAAATCATGCCAGGCCTCGAGCTACTCCTCTAACAATTTTTTAAGTATAATATCCAGACCACAATAAAAATAGCCAGGTACAAGAGGAAACAAGGCAATATGAATCAGAACCGGTAGAAATAACAGAACCTAGAAACAGAGCTATATTTGAGTTATCAGATATAGACTTTAAAATAACTACATTTACATAAAAGACAAGATTGACAATTTTAGCAGAGAATTGGAAATTATTTTTAAAAATAGAAAGTTTGTAAAAATGAACAAATAGAAATAGTAGAACTTGGTATTGTAATACACATTTAATGGACTGGTTAAATAACAGATGTGAGACAGCTGAAGCAAAGTTAATGAATTGGAGTATATAGATTAGAAGAAAATATCGACAATGAAGCATGAAAAGATAAAGGTGGGGAAATATAGAAAGAGAGTAGGAAACACAAAAAATAGAATAAGAAGGTAAAAGATCCATATAATTTGAGTTCCAGAAGGAGAGAATATATAAGAGCAATATTTGAAGAGCTAATGGCTAAGAATATTACAAACCTGGTAAAAGACATCAAGATACCCCATTAATGAAAAGCAAGTTAAAAATTTTTCCCTTCGCACCCAGGCACATCAGAGTAAAATTGCTAAAAAACAAAGGCAATGGAGAAAATCTTAAAAGTAGCTTAGTAATTTGAAAGTAGACTGACATTTGGTTTCAAGAGATATAATCAATAATACAATATAAATTGTTCTGGGGCAACGAGATATTCATAAAGAAATTTTCAAAAAAAGGGACCTTCTAACTATTACCCCCCACAAAAAACAACTCAGGGTTGATTGCAGATCAAATGTAAAAGGAACACAATAAAGCTTCTGGAGGAGAATATATAGGAGAGTATCTTCAAGACTTGAGGTAGGGAAAGATTTTAAACTAGGACACAAAAGCACTACCTATAATGAAAAGGAACATACATTTGACTACATCAAAATAAAAAAAAAACTCAACATCATAATTCTTGATATGATGCACTGAGAGGGACACACATCACTTCTGCGGTACCCAAAAATGCATAACCTCCCTCTACTAAATTGAGAGACACTTGACACAGTCCCTGGCTCATACTCATCAAAAGTGTCAAGGTCATGAAAGACAAGGAAAGTCTGAAGAACTGTCACAGATTGGAGAAGACAAAGGAGATGACAACTAAATGCAACGGGGGGTCCTGATTGGATCCTAGAACAGAAAAAAGGACATTAGGGGGAACACTGGTGAGATTTTTAAAAGGCCTATGGTTTAGTCAATGTCAATTTTCCGATTTTGCTAATTGTATTATGGTTAGGTGAGTTGTTAACATAAGGGGCTGCTGGGTGTAGGGTATTTGAGAGCTCTGTAGCATTTGTGCTATTTTACTGTGTGAACCATTTGTGCAGTTTTATAGTAAGTCTAAAATTATTTCAAAATAAAAAATAAAAAAGAGGACTTCTGTTATCAAAAAATACCATTAAAGGGTGCAACTCCCCAAGCGAGAGAAGACATTTACAACACTTTTAAGTGAGAATAGGCTCATCTCCAGAATATATCGAGAACTTCTACAAAGCCAACACAACTGTCCACCAGCGTAGCCCCTTATGAATTAGTATGTAGGATTCAGATTTCAACTATGTCATATTCATTTGGAAGAAAGAAACCTCTTACCAACGTTGCCACATTGGCACAAACAACATAAGCCTGTGGTGGAGTTATTTTGATTTTTAAGAAAAGAAGTTCATCTTATTTTAACTTTCAAAGGAAAGGCAAGGCCAGATAATCTAAGATACAGGAATAGAGGATCATGGGGAAAATACAGTTTGGACGAAATGCATAAACAGTGTTCAAAGAGATGAAGAGGAAGGAAATTCAATGGCAGCAGTTTCAGTGGCGCCTCAAACCCTGGAGTCAAAAGTCCCAAAAGAAGACAGAGAGCAATTAAAATGTACTTAAGTTTTTCCGAAAAGCCACATCTTTTTCTGGTGAACTCTGGCCTTCTATTAAGTAAGAAAACAGTTTTAATTTTTCTCCTCTCCTGGCTAACTCTTTCTACCATTTGTAGATGCATTTTCAGTGTATGTAATCTATCATGAAACTTGCTAAAATACAAATGCATTGGCAATATAGTTTAATATAAAGTACATTTAGGTTTCTTACAGGCTTCCAAACTAGTTAAACTATGTGTACCAAATATAGTTTGTTGATAGAATGAGTGTTATTTTTATCTGTATACAAGAGAGTTAGGAATGATTTTCACTGTGTTGTTATCACTCTAATGACGGTACCACAGAGCTCTAGTACTACAGCTCTTTATTGTATTTTATTTTATTTTTTGTTTTTTTGAGGAAGGTTAGCCCTGAGCTAACATCTGCTGCCAATCCTCGTCTTTTTGCTGAGGAAGACTGACCCTGAGCTAATATCCGTGCCCATCTTCCTCTACTTTATATGTGGGATGCCTACCACAGCATGGCTTTTGCCAAGTGATGCCGCGTCCACACCTGGGATCGGAACAGGCTAACATGGGGCCGTGGAGAAGCGGAAAGTGTGAACTTATCGCTGCTCCACAGGGCTGGCCCCTACAGCTCTTTAAAATACTGATACTCTTTAACATCTGGTGCATCACTGCTCAGAGTTGCACAATATAACAAAAATGGTAGTTTACTTAGTCCATTATTACCAAAGTTGCTGAAGAAAGAGCTTAATATATCTTGACATGTGGGTGGATAAGTTGAGGGAAAAGAGAAACAGGGAACTGAGAATGGAAAGGCAAGATGAAGGCAAAAGCAACACAAAGCACAAAATTCACACCAGGAAGACCCAGCCAGTTGGGTCACAAATTTGGTTATGTTGTCTAGTGCATTGAGTAAGACAACTGAATTTAGTGATCTCATGAGTATGAGAAAAACTGGATTCCAAAGAGAAACAAAATGATCCTTGAAACTGAGATTAAAGAGTAGTCTCTCCCATGGGGCCTCATAAAGGAGATGTTGCACTAGGTAACATCCTTTTCATAAATAAAGCAGGGAGTTACACAACTTTGTTTTTTATAACGCCAAAACCAGACTTCGCAGGAAGCGAATATGGTCTATACTAGCTGTACCAATCTCTGCTGCTATTGTTCTGGAGGAAATCATAAACTTTATACCTCTCAGGCAATCATTAATAAATGTAATTTCTCTTAGCTGACGTTTTTATAGCTAGTTTATAGCAGTAAGCTTAAGAAAGAAACCAAAGTTCAGCTATTCTGTTGAGATAAAATGTGGAACCGTTTGTGTTAACATTCAGGCAAGCTGGAAAGAGAATCAATCTACTTCCAGGGAAGTTGAAGCCTATGACAAAAGTAAATACTCAGTGAAAGGCCCAGCCTACCTCCTCTGCATGGAGAGGGCTGAGGGAAACTTCCTCCAGCCAACACATTCCTCAAGAAGCAGTTTGGGGTCTGCTGAAGCTCACAGACAAGGACAGAATCAAAGCCACAGGGTTCTCCTGAATGGAGCATGGCCATAATTACTTTAGTATGGGAAAAAATATATTTATATATTATATCGTATCATTATCTTTCATTTATATTATACTATATCAAATATGATGTATGGAAAAAATATATCCAAGTGTTTTACTTAGAAAATCCCAGTAATATATTTATACAGCCTTTAATTTAGAGTAATATAATCCAGGGCACCCCAGTGGCATAGTGGTTGGGTTCATGCGCCCTGCTTTGGTGGCCTGGGGTTTGCAGGTTCGGATCCCGGATGCGGACCTAGCACTGCTCACCAAGCCACGGTGTGGCGGCATCCCACATAACGTAGAGGAAAATTGGCACAGATGTTAGCTCAGCAACGATCTTCCTCACACACACACACACACAGAGTAATATAACTTCACTGTGTTTCCTCCAAGATAAACTGTTTGCAACATAAATACCTAGATAATTGAATTAATTTGCTACAGAGGATTAAATATAAAGCAGTTAATAGTTTAGTGTGGGTGGGGAGCAGTGTTACCAATTCTTTAAATAATTAGATAGTAGGGTCAATTATTTTAATATTAAGACCATCCCTACTGTTTGAGTATGTCATCCACAAACAATAGAATGATTCGACTCACCAAAGAATGAATTAGTGATCAGAGATTGTATAATTACCTCATGAAAACAGCTTCCCATTAACCAAAGGATCACTTCTACTGAATTTATGAGAGTAAAACAACTTGGAATTTATTTTGAGGTCAAACTATACTATATTTCCTATCTCTTTAGAGATTTAAAAGCTACACAAAGTCAATAAAAAATGTCATGTTTCATCATTTTTCTGAACTTTATCTACAAGAAGATAAATTTAAAAAATGGTTCATGGAGCCAGCCCAGAGGTACAGTAGTTAAGTTTGGAGGTTCCGCTTTGGCGAGCGAGGATTTGCCAATTCAGATTCCACGTGTGGACCTATGCACCAATTGTCAAGGCATGTGGTGGCAGGCATCCCGCATATAAAGTAGAGAAAGGTGGGCACAGATGTTAGCTCAGGGCCAGTCTTCCTCAGCAAAAAGAGGAGGATTGGTGGCAGATGTTAGCTCAGGGCTAATCTTCCTCAAAAAAAAAAAAAAGGTTCATGGTGAACTATCTATAGTTGTCATTTTCTTATGTAGAACATTGATATGAAATGCCCAGGCTTCCAATGGATGAAGAAAGAAACTTATATAGCTATTTTAGATGGAATGACTACTAATCTAAGAATCTCGAGGTCAATATTTGCCCTTAAAAATAGGAAAACTATATTTTGCATCCAGCCAGTAGGAGTGTATGAGTGGACTGATGAAGGTCTTTGAAGACTTCTAGTAAATTTAGTAGTAAATATTTAGCAGATGATTTATTTACTCGAGTTTTTTAAAAATCAGCTCTAGAATATGCTAGACCATTACTGAGACCTTCTCAGAGAAGAATCTTGGATTCACTCAAGGACAGTGGAACTTCCTTTGTAGAGATGAGAAGACAAGCCACTTTGGGTGTCCATCTGGATGGAAATATCCACTTAAATCAATTCCTTCCTTATTTAAGACCTTTTGACATAGATTTATTTCAGAGTTCAAGACAATGAATTTAAATATGATTAAAATCTAATAAAATAAAAGAGGTCTCTTCTGATTTTAATTTTATATATGGAAATGCTAATTTAGCAAACTTTTTCTCCCTCTTTGTCCTACTTTTGGGGCAAATATTTGAAGTCTCATAGATTTATGTGCACATCCATGAATGGCTAAATTTCTGTAACCTAAAGGGAGAGTAGACTACAATATTCTGGCGTCTGAGTGCCCTTCCCATGAATGAGGTAGTTTTGGTGGCTTCACTCACTTTACAAAGACAATAAAATAGAATGAAGGAACAAAATTTTCCAATAATAAGTCCTATCAAAATGGCAACATGTCCGTAACTCAAGTTAATAAAACTGAAAAGAATTTCCAGACCATAAGAATTACTCACCCTTGGTCTTATTTTCTGAGACCTTATGAACTTGCCTTCCCCAAGGGCTCTTAATACAGTCATGTGTAGCCTAACAATGTTTTGGTCAACAATGAACTGCATATATGACAGTGGTCCTATGAGGTTAGTACCATATACCTAGGTGTGTAGTAGGTTATACCATCTAGGTTTGTGTAGGTACACTCCATGATGTTCGCACAATGATGAATCACCTAACGATGCATTTCTCAGAATGTGTCCCCCTCATCAAGCAACTCATGCCTGTAGATCCAACTCTTCTGGGTTGGAAGTGGTAGTGTAATGGAAGGCAAGGGATTATTAAATTCTCCAAATAAGCATGGAGCCCTGGAGAATTTAATGGTGCAGAAATCAGAAAATGTTACACATCTAGTGAGAGACGGAGACTCAAACTCAAGCAGGCTGACCTTTCTTCTGTGCAGTGCTTCCCTCCAGGGATGAGAGAGGAGTGCATTTGAAAGTGCACATCTCTTTCAGATGACGTTAACTGTTCATCTGAACCAACAGGGACATTTAATAAGAAAATGACAAACTCTTCTATTTGAAAATAAACATTTCTTACTCTTTGACTTATGAGCACTGGAGCGTCATTTAAGGAAGAGGCCCAATTTACAAAGTCAGTCACATTAACCGTCTTGGCTCCTTTGAGAAGCTTCTCTTTCAGTTCAAACGCATATTTTCTGGTTCCTCCTCTTATGAGTGAAATAACATCATCTATGAGGCTACCATCCATGATGTTTACTGAGGAGAGAAAGAAGATACATTGAGGTATGTATAGTTCTGTGATATTTGATAAACATTTATTGAATTCCTTTTGTAAAGTGTATTCTACTATATTTATTCAATTTTAATTATAGATGTTACTTATGTAAGTTTTTCACCCAAATCTCCAAGGGCAATTTTTATTAGTAGCCAATTGTAGACTTCAATCTTTTAAAAAAAATAGTACGATAATTGAGATACATTGATAATTCAAAGTTTATGACCATGTACATGTACACATAGGAACCAAACATGACTTTTGGATGTTCTATATATTTTTAGTTATATACTTAACTTCATAATCATATTTTGTATAGGTTTGCTTTAAACTATTTTAATATTGTAGAAAATCAAAAAGTACAAAAAAGAATAAAGTGAAAAGCAAAATTTCTTTCTACCCCAAATTCCTATCCGTCTCTCCCTCATTCTCTCCAGACTAAACTAGTTTTAAGAAACTTTTGTGAATCTTTTAGAGTTGTGAATTTTTTGAACTGGAAAGGAATTTCAAGATGATTTTTGTTTATCCTTCCTTATTTTCATGGATGTGAAAACTGAGGCTCAGAGAGGTGGAGTGACTAGCCCAAGATTCCACAGTTAGCTTAAGGGCCAAATATTGAAATTATGACATTTGGTGGCAAGTGCAGTTTTCTTTTCACTTCATTAGTGGTTTCCAATCATGGCCACATGTCAGTGGTTGGTATGTTTTTTAAAATATCAAGCTTTCCTTTCTTCTGCCTCCCCACTACTAGTTGACCCTTTAACAAAGTCTCAAGCATTTGTATTTCTAAAAATGCTCTTAGCTATTTCTGATTAGAGTAAAAATTGAGAACTCTGGCATTACCTCAGGCATGTAAATCTGCTAAAGATTAACAACAGAAGCAATATTTATATTTTTAAAAAGTTATGCACTGCTTTTTTTTTTTGGAGGAAGATTAGCCCTGAGCTAACTACTGCCAGTCCTTCTCTTTTTGCTGAGGAAGCCTGGCTCTGAGCTAACATCCGTGCCCATCTTCCTCTACTTTATAGAAAAAAAAAAATACCTACCACAGAATGGCTGCCAAGCAGTGCCATGTCCGCACCCGGGATCCGAACCAGCAAACCCCGGGCCGCCGAGGAGCGGAACGTGCGAACTTAACCGCTGCGCCACCGGGCCGGCCCCTGCACTGCTTTAATAGTAAAGGTGTATTAGGGATTTCTTTTTTTCCCTTAGTTTTATTGAGATATAATTGACATAGAACACTATATAAGTCTAAGGTGTACAGCATAATGACTTGACATACATATATATTGCAAAATGATTACCACAACAAGTTTAGTTAACACACATCACCTCCTGTAGTTACGAGAAGAAATTTTTTTTTTCCTTGTGATGAGAACTTTTAGGGTCTACTCTCTTAGCAACTTTCAAATATACCATATGACAGTGTTAACTATAGTCATCGTGTCGTACATTATACTCCCAGTTTTATTTACTTTATAACTGGAAGTTTGTACCAAGTTTGAGCAATTAGGTGACGTGGATTAGAGATTTCAAATCAGGTGGAAGGTTGAGTCAGGGAGATGATTTTGGCCCTCTCCTTTCTTAACGGACATGCACAGTACTGCCACTAGCCCATTTGGAAGCTTTGTTAAAACTGAGGGGAAAAAAAGGAATTTTCCTCAAGATATTTTTCTATCATGGTCACGATAAATATACAAATCTCCAATGACTACAATGTGAATGGCGCTCACTAGAGCTGCGCACTGTACAATTGTGTGATAGTGATAATGATGATTACAGTCCACGGGTTACTTGTGTTTATAATGGTTTGGAAACTGCTGTAAAGATAAAACAGTGTTTAAGCACTCTTCCTTCTTTTAAAAATAAAGAGAGGGCTCTGAGTGACAGGGCAGCACTCATTGATCCCTCCCTTCTGGGTTTTTTTTTTTTTTTTGAGGAAGATTAGCCCTGAGCTAACTACTGCCAGTCCTTCTCTTTTTGCTGAGGAAGCCTGGCTCTGAGCTAACATCGTGCCCATCTTCCTCTACTTTATATGTGGGACACCTGCCACAGCATGGTGTGCCAAGCGGTGCCATGTCCGCACCCGGGATCCGAACCGGCGAACCCCGGGCCGCCAAGAAGCGGAACGTGCAAATTTAACCACTGCGCCACAGGGCCGGCCCCTCCCTTCTGTTTTTAACCTCATAAGTGAGGCCATACTTACCAATTTCCTTCTCATTCCTCTTTAAACAATCATTTTTATCAATCTTTGCTGTGACTTCATATTTATCCTTCAGAGATAAGTCCAGATTAAACCCAAGGCATCTCTGTATGTCCCTCAGTTCAACACCTGTTTAATGTATTTAGTTGAAAATAATTAGATAATGTTTATTGACATCATAAGTAAATTCCAATTTTGCTATTTTTTAAGAGACATACTTACTTGGATTCCTAGACATTATTACCCAACTCAAATGCATTGCGGTCATATTGTCCCTGTTTTGTCTCCCTGTTAGAATTTACTGGCCTCTTTTGGACTTTGCTTGTTAACTTAATGGCAAAGGACATACAAATTTACCCCTTGTTTAAAAGGTCATGGGTCAGAGGAGGGTGGTTATCGTAAAATCCTTTACCTCTAATACCGTAGAAGGGAGACAATAATGTCTAACACGTATTGAATACTTACTTAGCATATGCCCAGCATCATTCTAATCATTTTGTATGTGTTAACTAATTTAACCCTCGCATTGACCTTTTGAGGTAAGTTCTATTATTATCCTCATTTTATGAATGAGGATACAGAATTACAGAGCAGTTAAGTAACCTGCTGATGGTACTCAGTTAGTAATGAGCCAGGTTGGTATTTGAACCCAGAGCCGTCTGGCTATTTGGCACTTCTCTGCACTGACTTTATAATTTGGTCATGGAATGCATCATCTCCTGATCCTCTTTGGAGGACTCAGTTTGTCATTAAGGTAGGTAGTTCATTGCTTTGTACAGGTGGCTTGTGTATAGGACAACTTTGTTTCAGTCCTATGAATGCTATTTAGTAGACATCTGTCTTGGAAGCTGATTCATTGTGGTGCGTGGATGCTCCTGTTATTAGAAAGAAAAATCCTAATGTCTACTCAAGTATATAGTTTATTGTCTATTTCCCTGATTTAAGAGAAGGAATGATTCCTTTATTTTAAGAGTATACTGCCCAGGCCTCAGCTCATTGACCACGTCAGTTTTTGCTCTTAGTTTTCATTTTGGATCACATGTGTGCGCACACACACACACACACAAATATGTGGTTGTTTGTCCTGGAAGCCAAAATGCTTTATGAAAAAGAAAAGGGAGAAGTTTTCCCACTTCTCCCACTCCCACTGTGGGAGAAGTTAATCCCTGTGGTCCACGGTGAGATTTAGAAGCAGAGATTTGTGGGCATTTAGGCATTCGTTCATTCAACAAATATTTTTTGTGCACCCACAATTAGTGAGAACTTGAGAAGTATCAGGTGACATTTCCCATGGTCAAGGAAGGAGAAGGATAAAAATGGAAGACAATGCTAGAAATCCAAAGTACTACATTTCCAACCTTAACCTAAGAAGGATTACTCCGATTCTGAGGATGAGGATGAAAATACCTAAGAGACTCCAAAGAGGTAAGATTCTCTGCCTCAGCTGTGGAACTTTCCAAGTCCAGACAGAGTCTGGACATCCCAAACTGAGATGGAGGACATGGCTTGGTCCTCAGGTATTGCCACTGGAGAAGTAAGAAAGATGACTTCCTCTTCAAGGACACCAGGATTGACCTAAGGATCCTTGTCTACTAAGGCTAGAAGGTAAATAGATTTAAGTGGGTAGCTCTGAGTTGTCCAAGCTCTAACATATAAGTCTCCTCCCTAAAAGGAAATTTAGAACATTTCCCTTCCAATACTGAAGAATACTTGGGAAGATAATTGTCATACATATAACTGAATCAGTCTACTGATGAAAAGATAGATTACATAAATTATGTCCTTTGTACTTTCTTTCACCTTTTAAATAGTATTTCACAGAAAGCAGCATCACCAAATAACATTAAAGTGCAATACAATACGACTTTGTGCATTTCTCAGTCGTGCTGCCGAGTTTATGCATGACTAAATCATCTTGCTTGAGGTGGAACTCAATTTGCTGTTCGATAGGGTTTTAGATGCCAGTGGTCACGGAGAGAGTTCTCTCAAAGAAGCAGGTTACACGACTCTATTCTAAAGTTTTTAACCACTGAAAGAGGTTAGCAATAGGAATAATTGTAGGTTAAAGCAGCATTAGAAGTAAGAACTTTATCTCTAGGTATACCTTTCTGGTCCATGGATGCTTTATCCAAAACATATATTAGTTCATAGAGGCCTCCTAGAGACCCAGAGCTACTGTAGTGGGTGCCATAGGTTTCCAAAAATGCAAAATATTCTCCCTTTTCATAGGCAGTTGGCAGAGCTTTTATATCATCCAAGAAAGTTGTTGTCAGAACGACATCCCGACTTCTCATCACAAATTTTCCCAGTTGAATTACTCCTTTCACATGCAGAAACATTTTTTCCTTTGTTGTAGAGCAGAAGAAAAATATAAGTTTTATCACCATTACTTCAAGTTAAAAAATCACAAAATTTAGAGTTTCCATGGGCAATAAATTTTTTAGTAATGACCGTAAGATACCACTGCAACCCCCCAGAATGGCCAACTTAAAATATTATCAAGGCCAACTGTTGATGAAGATGCGCAGCAACTGGAACTCTTGTACGCTGCTCGTAGGAGTGTAAATTGGTATAACCCCTTTGGAGAACGGTTAGGCGGTTTCTTATAAGAATAAACATCCATCCATCCTATAGCCAGCAATTCCACTTTACTTATTTACCTAAGATCAGTGAAAAGAGAGTCCACAAAAAAACCTGTACAAGATTTTTATAGCAGCTTTTGTCAGAAGAGCTTAAAATTGGAAACAATGCAAATGCCCATCAACAGGGGAATTGATAAACTGTAGTATATTTACGCAAAGGAATACTAGTTAGCTACAGAAAATCCTAAACTACTGATTGATACATGCAACAACATAAATAAATCTCAAAAATATGATGCTGAGTGAAAAAAAGAGACACAAAAGAGTATATACTGTATGACTGCATTTATATGAAGTTCTAGAACAGGTAGAACTAAGCTATGCTTAGAGAAATCTAGTCAGCTACCTTTCAGGCTGTAGAGAATTGACTGCAAAGGGCATCATGGAATTTTCTTGAGGTCATGGAAATGTTCTGTACCTTATTTGAGGAGGTCGTTGAACAGGTGAATACAGTAGTCAAAACTCATGGAACTATATGCTTAAAATTTTTGCATTTATTGCATGTAAATTATACCTCACTAAGTTGATTTAAAAATGCTAACAGTGGAAGGAAATGTAGACATTAAATATGAGGCCCAACCTTCTTATTTTGCAGATGAGAAAACTCAGATCCAAAGGTATCAAGTTATTTGCCTCAAATCACACAAATCGTCTGTGGCAGCAATTTGAACTAAAAACCGACATCTTGGGTTTCCCCCTTCTTCCACTATGTCCTCTCAATCTTTGGTCACAGAGAGAGGACAGACAATATTTTAAGACATGGATCTCAAGTCAGCCCAAACAGCTCAACAGTTAAATGTTCTCAGAGATGATGGCTTAAATTTCCAGGAAAATACTGGGGCAGAGACGAACTATGAGCTTCCATGCCAGAGTCTCTCCTAGCCAAAACTAAACGAAATTGACACCCGTGATTTTGTAGGTGGTTCTTTTGAGGTTCTCTTGCTGTAGTTGTGGTTAGCACATGTTGATTGCATGGGAGTTTAAAACACTTTATTATTTTTTTAAGGGTACATCCTAGCAGATATGAACATCACACCAAACTTTCTGTGTTTTAGAAGCACAACCGTTCACACTGCAGACTTAACTTCAGATGATAGTGGATGATTCAGTCTCTAACAAAAGTCTTAAAGGAACTTACTCCGTATATAATGTCATATGAGTTCCCTGTCTGATGAATTGCCTAATAATTTTCAATGGAGTCTCAAAGGTGTACAAAACATACTTGGATTCCTTTTCATTGTTGTTAAAATTAGGAGGAATATCTTATCAGAAAGATGATATGTTCTTTGGCTCAGCTCATTTTAGAAGTAGATCTTAGATCATTCCCATCTATATATACTGTTGTTTCTTCCATTTTAAAGGAATAAAAGAAATCTCTTGGCCTCACTTGTCTGACCATTTGCTACTCATTTCTTTGCCCTCATTAAAAGCAAAATTCCTTTAAAGAGTTTTCTATACTGGCTGTTTCCAATTCCTCTCCCCATTTTCTCTTAAATCTAATCCAGTTATACTGCTGCCTTCACTACTCCAACAAAGCTTCTCATGTCAAGGTCACCAGTGAACTTCATAATGTTAACGCCAGTGGTTGCTTCTTGGTCCTCATCTTCTTTGACATATTAGCACATTTCACACAGTTCATCACTGATTTCTCCTTGATAGAGTTCCTTTTCTTGTCTTCTAAGGCAGTTCTTCTCAAAGAATCAAGTGCAAACAAAATCACCTAGAGAATCTTGTTAAAACCAAATTCTGATTCAATAGGTCTAGGGTAGAGTCTGAGGTTCTAGCTTCCCAGAGATGTTGTTGCTGCTGGACCATGGACCACACTTTGAGTAGCGAGGTTCTAGGCCATTACATTGCCTTGCTTTACATTATATTATATTACATTACATTACGCTTGCTTTCCTTTGCTTGTTCCTCCTCTTTCCCCAAACCTCTTGCTACTCAAGTTCCTTGAGTTAAGTCTTTGATCTTTCTCTCTTTTCTATCTACATTAACTCTGTTAGTTGTCTCACAAAACCTTATGACTTTAAGCATCATCTATGTATCAACAACTCCCAAATTTATAGCTCAAACTCAGACCTCTTTCCCAAACTCTGGACTCATAACACCAATTTCCTACTTGATGTCTCCATTTTAATGACTGATAGACATCTCAGACTTCCTCTAAGACTTAACTACTGGTCTTTTTCTCCAAACCTGCTGTACTTGAACTTTTCTCCATCTCACTTGATAGCAACTCCATCTTTCCAATAGCTCAGGCCAAAAACCTTGGAGTCATGTTTGACTTTGTACTTGTCCTGTAGAAACTACTATCATCTCTCACTTGGCTTCCTACAACAGTTTTTAACAAATCTTTTTGCTTCTGTTCTCAACTCTCGTAATCTCTTCTCAGCAGAGTACCCAGAGTAATCATTTAAAATATATTAGGGTATGTTAATCTTCTATTCAAAACGTTCCAATGACCTCCCATGTCACTCAGAGAAAAAGCCAAACTCTTAGAATGGGCTGTGAGGCTCTTAATGATCTGGTTCAAGGTAACCTGTCTAACCTTTTCTCCTTCTGGTTCACTTATATGTCATCCCAAATATAACTATTTGGCTATGTCTTCTCCTTCAAATCTTTGCTCAAATCTCAGCTCCTTAATGAAGCCTACCTTGAATCAAGGAGTAATTTTGACTCTCAAGTCTTATTATTTAAGAATATATTTCATAAGGCAATAGCTGGCATAGATATTGATTTCTCTGATGGATCTGAGCAAAGTAAATTGAAAATCTTCTGGAAAGGATTCACCATTCTGGATGCCATTGAGAACATTTGTGATCCATGGGAAGAGGTCAAAATATCAACATTAACAGGAGTTTGGAAGAAGTTGATTCCAAACCTCATGGATGACTTTGAGGGGTTCAAGACTTCAGTGGAGGAAGTAACTGTAGATGTGGTGGAAACAGCAAGAGAATACGAATTAGAAGTGGAGCCTGAGGATGTGACTGAATTGCTGAAATCTCATGATAAAACTTTAACGGATGAGGATTTTCTTTTTATGGATGACTAAAGAAAGTGGTTTCCTTGGGCCGGCCTGGTGATGCAGCAGTTAAGTTCCCATGTTCTGCTTTGGTGGCCCAGGGACCAGGGTTCACTGGTTCAGATCCTGGGTGTGGACCTATGCAACTCTCATCAAATCATGCTGTGGCAGGCATCCCATATATAAAGTAGAGGAAGATGGGCACGGATATTAGCTCAGGGCTAGTCTTCCTCGGCAAAAAGAAGAGGACTGGTGGCAGATGTTAGCTCAGGGCTAATCTTCCTCAAAAAAAAATGTATTAAAAAAAATAAAAATAAATCTGAAAAAAAAAAAGTGATTTCCTGAGATGGAATCCAGTCCTGGTGAAGATGCTGTGAAGATTGTTGAAGCAACAAAAAAGGAGATCTATTTCTTCTAAATGCTTAAACTTAAAAAAGGGGGGTTGGTTAGTTTGAAAATATCCTGTTATAGTCTCTATATTAAGTGTTTGGCCTTACCTTCTTAGAAGAATATGACAAGAACAGTTGGTAAGTTTCATTTTTGGAGTATGCAAATCGAAATATTCTATTTTCTGAGGAGTCTGTTCCATTACAGGATTCTTCAGGTTCCTGTTTACACTTTTTTGCTTCAGTAGGTGTAAATTTTAGTGTGAAATCTGCATTAAAATGTGACCTCCTCTCTTCGATGACACTCCTGAATGCTTGAATCTGTTGTTCATAATGTTCAATTCTAAAATTTTTATCAGCTTTGGTCTAGAAGAGAATGACAAAGTGTTGAAAATGATATACAAGAAGCCACCCAAAATAGACACAGAAAGAAACAAAAATCAAGCAGCTATTTGAAAGGTGGTAGAGCAAAGGAATTAAGAGCAAAGGCACTGGAGTGAGATGGCTGGGCTCCAAATACAGATTCCATGACTTGGAGGACATTACACATTAACCTCCTAGTGTCTTGTCTGATTCCTAGCCTGTAAATGGGGATGCTCAGCATATTTATCCCGAAGGTTGCTATAAAGATTCAATGAAATAATGCATATGAAGGGCTTGCAATACAGCAAACTTTCAAAAGTTAATACATTAATAATTAAAAGCAAGTTTTGAAACAGATGCACAATGTACTACCATTTGTGTAAAAAAAAGAAAGGAAAAAAGAAATGATAAAGCTAACCCTTATTGAAGGCTTATGGTCCAGGCACTGTCTTGAATATTTTACATATGTTGATTAACTTAAGTAGAAAGGCAAGGACTTGAACCTGAATTGCCTCTTAACCTTTGTACTCTACTGCCTTTAAAAAAATAGACAGGGGCCAGCCCGGTGGTGGAGTGGTTAGGTTCACATGCTCCGATTTGGCAGCCTGGGTTTTGTGGGTTCAGATCCTAGGTGTGGACCTACATGTGGCTCATGAAGCCATGCTGTGGTAGTGCCCCACATACAAAATAGAGGAAGAGTAGTACAGATGTTAGCTCAGGGTCAATCTTTGTTTTGCGAATTTTTTTTAGACAAACCACAGAGAGTGTTTGTCTTTGAGAAGGAGAACTGTGAAATGGGAATCTCGAGTGGCGGGGAGGCTTGCTTTTGCTTGCATAGTCTTTTGTGCTGTTTAGACTTTTTGAATATTTTTTTTACTGCATTTATTTCTTCATTAAAAAAACCTGAACAGCCTACTTAAAAATTAAAACTTTCAATTAAAGCATTTTTTGCTAACTTGGCTATTGTTAGGTATCAGTGAAAGGGGTGTTAATTTCAATGGTTCAGCTCTTTTTCCAGAGGTCCTCTGAAATAGGTTATAACTCTCGTCTAGGGAGGAGACACCCAGCTCTTCAGTTAGTGGCATAGACTGGGTTCAGTAGCATACGCTGGGGAATTGTTCTGCACAGGGGATGCTGTGGTCTGAATGTTTATGTCCTCCCCCAAATGCATATGTTATAATCCTAATGCCCAATGAGATAGTATTAGGAGGTGGGCCATTTGGGAGGAGCCTTCATGAATGAGATTAGTGATCTTAGAAAAGTGACCCCACAGAGCTCCCTAGCCCCTTCCCCCATGTGAGGACACAACAAGAAGTCTGGGACCTGGAAGAGGTCCTCACCTGACCATGCTGGCACTCTGAGCTCAGACTTCCAGCCTCCTGAACTAGGAGAAATAAATTTCTGTTGTTTCTAAGCTATTAAGTCTCTGGTATTTTGTTATAGCAACCTGCACAGACTAAGACAGGGAACCTAAAGTTATCATCAAACGGGAAAGACTAAAACGCGTATAATTTTCTTTAGAGCAAAGCATGCTTGGAAAAGTGCTCGATGTAAAGGAGAAGAGTAACCTAACCATGTCACTTCCCAGCTTAAAATCGCTCAGTCTTTCCTTCGCCTTTAAGGTAAAATCTAAACTAGACTTCTTCCGAGTTAATCTCTTCCTGACTGTACTCCAGCCCTCTGGCCACCTTTCTATTTCCACAGCCCATGCTTCTTTCCACCACGGGGACCTTTTGTGCTGCTTTTACTTTCTGGAATGTTCTTTAACAACCCCCCTCCCATTCTCCCACAACACAAACATTATACACGCTCACACACATACACATTGTCTCACACACATACTATATCCTCTGGCCTGGTCAATTCCTACTCCTATTTCAAGTCTTAGCTTAAACATCACTTCCTCAGGGAGGACTTTCCTGATCCCACAGATTAACAAATCCATTTTGTATAAGCTCTCCTGGCTCCTCTTTTAAAATAAAACAAAATGAAAAACACTTCCCTTATATAATTGCTTATTTAATAGACCTTCAGACGGTAAGCTCCAAAAAGTCAGGGACCATGTCTGTCTTACCAACCTGCCACTATAGCCTCACCACTTACTAAAGTACCTGGCACATAGTAGATGCTAATAAAAATTTATTAAATTTAATATGCAGATCCAATATAGCTAGCAATAATAATTAATATTCATTGAGTGCTTACTCTGTGCCAGGAGCTGTTAAAAGGGTTTTATGTAGAATAACACATTTAACTTCCTACCTTTAAGGTAATTTCTATAATTATCTCCATTTTGCAGGTAAGGAAATACAGTTTAAGAAATTTATTCAAGGTCACACAGCTAGGAAGTAGCTCAGCCAGCGTGGAAGAATGATTCCAGGGCTGAGTCGTTAATTCTTACGCTACACTGCCAAAAAGGGCTTGACAAACTCTGACTGGTACAATCAAGAAGGGCTTGTGGAAAAGGCTGCTTTGAACTTGGCCTTGAAAAATGAATAGGATTTCTATTGTCCTTAAAAATAAGGTTAACGGAAGCAATTGAAGAAAATTCTACTCAGTCTTCGAGGAGGAAAAGTGCCAAAGTTGAGCAAAATGGCACCCAGAAAACACCTCTCTTTAACTCTCCTGGTAGGCTAGGGTCTTCTTAGATTACTGTCTTCTAATCGGCTGCAAGATGAGGGGGTGTAATTTGTTGGCACCTGCACTTATACTTGAAATGGCTAGAAAGGAACTGGCACAGGGCAGAGATCAACTTAGCAGTGGCGAGGATCACTTGCAGGCTTAAGAAGATGCTGGTCAGGGCATCAATTAGGATGCTGTTGAATGGTCCTGTCTCACTATGCCAGGTTGGTAGCAGTGAGTAGAGTTTCACTTGCCCTCACAATGAGGGGGGAGTCATCCCAGAAAGCATAGAGACAAGAGCTGGATTGAAAAAGGCAGGAATCTATGCATCCAAACAGAAGTCTGAGCTCAATGATAGGCATTCAGAGGTGGACCAACATTTGGAATCATTATGGAGAGAAGAGCAAAAGTCTTTGAAGAGAGACCAAAAAAGTAAGATTCTAGGAAGCAGGAAGGTCAAGGATGGAATCAAGTTTCTTTATGAGAACAAAATAGATGTGGAAGGGATTAATCTGATCTGAACTGACAAAAAGTTATGTATAGTCTTCATTTCTCCCACTTTGAGTGAATATCGGTTGGTTTTGCTACAGAAATATTAATGTATTTGATTATGGATGCTGCTTCTAACTGCATTGGGGTTGTAAGTAACATACAGGGTAAGGACCACATCACCTTTGTAAAATCCAAAACATTCTGAATGTGGAAACACATCTGTTTCCAGAGTTGTAGATAAGAGAAAACAGCAGCTTACTCTCCAAATGTGGCCTCAAGATCAGTCCCAGGCAACCTCTAGCCCTAACCATCTTGCGTCACACCAGTTACTACCACAAAAAGAAACTAAGGGACTGGTCACAGTGACGAAGACAAGCGAACTGTACAACACAGACTTGAGAACTAAAAACCAAATAAAACAACACAGCAACCACTCTTCTTCCATCAGCAATGGCAAGGGTTACCTTATCTTTGGTATATTCTTTCTAAGAAAGTAGAACATATAGAATACTTTTTAGAAAGATTATGATCTTCCCCTCAAAAAATATGCTTAAAGAAAAGGTCAATAATCCAAAATACCTGAGATTTGTGGGAAACTGATTCTATTCTGGACTTACAGGTACAAAAATACGACAATGTGGTTACATGTGAAAAATACGCCAAATAGTCCAGACATTAAAATCTTTAACACTCAGGGGAGAGCATGATCACTTCAGGCTGCAGTGGAGAGGCACTGATTTACAACATGGTTAGAAATAAAAGGACATACTTACATACTTATTTAGCCATATTTATTTAAAAGTAAGTATGTTTTTCAAACTGGTGAGAGTGACCACAATAATAAAGGACTTTGTAATAACTCAGTGAGGCAAACTTTACGGGTCACAAATGGGACCATTTAAAGAACAGATTATGCAGCTCCTGCTTCAGAATAAGCTAGTTATTATTCTTTATTATTTTGCTTAGACCAAAGAAGGTATTTCTAAATGTGATAAATATTAATCCTTTGAATGATGGGTCCAGTTTGTGGATGGTTCTAGAGAATTTAGGTGACTTTCAGGAAGGTGGTAAGTTTGGGGCAGCATGGTGTAGAGTAAAAATCACTTTAAGAAATAGTTTGAAAGAGCTGGAAGGGTTTTAGGTGAGTGGAAATAGCCGTCTCATTAGTCAAGCAGGCTTTACAAAGAGGAATATGGAAGGAAACTAAATGTAAAGATGTTTTCCCTGGTAGGCTAGCAAAAACTGAGCTTGAATTGCATGGAAGCAGTGTAATCAGTACTTAAATCAGCACTAATTTAGCTTTTGGTTTTATCAGAATCTTCCATTATTCTTTTTATGGAGTCTAGGTATGACTAGGTGCGTGTTACTGAGGATGAATTGTAGATGACTATGTTTTCTAAAGAGAGCCAAGCAACATCTCCCCTTTAAGTCAATCTTGTATTCACATGAAATTCTTATTCTGCTGAGTTTTTTGTGTTATTTAATATTTAAACTGACGGAAACAGCTTTCCAACTAAAAGCTGAACAATGCATTTTCTTCTGAGGAGACTTACTTCGTAGGCCAAAGAAGCCAGGTTCCAGGGTTTGCGGTAGTAGGTCAAGGTGTTTCCATCCCGAACTCGGTCACAGAGTCCATTGTAGTACTCGTTGTCAAAAGGTGTGCTTAGGGGATCCATCCCTAAGATGTTGATCCTGAGAAGGAACAGAGTGACATCAGGTATGGAGATGCCAGGAGCTAATGCAAGGCAGCCCTCTGTGGCTGGAGAAAGAGAGAGCCTCGGCTCATGTCCCCATCACCCAATACGTGTGTGACATAATCAGGAACGGAAGCAAGGGCCTGTTCACCTCTGCTCTGTGTCTCTGGCAGAAAGAATCCCTTAGGAAGGCCTTATAAACTCTCTTAGGCAAGTAGGGCACTGTCGAGAGCACAATGAAAGAAATGCTGTAAGCAGAGAGTAAGGGGCCATCTGGCTCCTAGAGTCTTAACTCCTCTCCTGTAACTCTTAGCTAACCTTCCTTGGTGAACTAACAGCCAATGCTGTAATACCATATATTTAAATTATTTGAGAACAGAGCGTCTCAGGGGGGCAGTATAACATATGCATGTAATTTTTAATCTATGAATCAACATTGGGGCTCTTTCTTCCCCCATTCTCTTTAACCTTAAACCTTTTCCTCCAGCTGTCTCATTGCTTGTCAAGAATCTCATGCCCTCCAGGCTTGTATTATTCCTATTATACTTTCCAAGAGGAACACAAAAATTTCAGCAGCCCGGCAAGGCATTCTCAAAAGTTCTGCTGTTTTCTCCCAGCAAAAATATTTTTATTTGGCAAGCTTTAATTCAGAAACAGAAATTTTGTTTAGCTTAAAGAAGTTAAGTTTAATTTGTAGACCTGAAAACAATGTATGAACAAGAAGAAGTTCATTCTTTGTGAAGCATACCTTTGCTAATTGGAGGAACAGGCCTTGCTTTTTAGACTGTATCTGAAATAAATGACCCCACGTCAGGGAGACCAAAATGGAGGTTTGATCTTCACATGTATAACTTAGCTTGGCACAAAAGTATAAATTCTTTCATTGTTCCAGACCACATCCCTAACTCCAGTGAGTTGGATTACAAATCTGGATGTTGGTTTCAAGAGCAATTTGTCAAAGGGTGTGGATGGCTTACTGTAAACCCATTGCTAACACAAGAAAAATAATTGAAAGAATATCCTATTGCCAGTGGGTTAGCTAAAAACAACATCTTTATATAAACAGCACATTCTTAATAAACTTTGAATCTGCAAAGAAAATGAACATTAGCAAAGAAAATGAACATAAGAGCTCAACTGCAGTGGAAGGCAAGTTAAGGAACTGATTCAGGAGTATCTTTCCTAAGACTGCCCATATAGATCAAATTAACCACTTCTCACTTTTTGCTCCACTAAAAATACCTTTCTTGAAAAGTGCTGTGGCCCTATACATCTAAGATAGGGCCAAAAATTAGACCTAGTAACTTGAAAAAGAGAGAGAAAAAAAGAGACTTTCTATATTTGGTTTGCTCTCTGAACATCTTCTTTCTCGTGGTAGAGTAAAATTTGGTTTTAATTCTTCACCTATGCCTGCATCTGTAGACATTTGAGCAATAAATACTTTTTTTTTTGTATTAGTAAGGTTTTGATGCAAATACATAGAACACTGGAAACAAATGATTTGTATTTATTTTTTAAACAAGACCTCAAGTACATTTTCCTTGTTCCATAGTGAATTTGTCCTCCATATATCTGCAGCAACAGAGACCATGTACCTCCTCACTTTCAGTGAACAATGATGCTAATCTTTGTTTATAATAATGATGAACTCTTAGGTGACTGTTATATCTATGTGTAGTGTTTGTAATAAATAGTAGGTAATATCAAGACAGTTAATACATAGTCTTTGATCTCACAAAAATTATAACCAATTTAGGAAGCTGGACACACAAATCACCAATTTCCAAAAGTAGTCCAAGGACGAATATGCGTGTGCTAAACGAGTAGTACAGGTAAGTGCTGTCCAGGTTCCCAAAAGGAAGAGATCCCCATGGTAGGGTCATAAAAAAGAGTTTTAGAAGAAGTAGGATTTGATGTGGATTTTGAAGCACGGGGCTCAAAGGACAGGAGGAATGGCGTGCAGGAAAGCCTGGAGGTGGAAATGAGCGTGGCACATTTTTATGTAGCACCCTTCAGATTTTCTGCTAGTTTACTCTACAAAAATTTTTGATAAACTATGCCTTCCTGCACAGTTTTAGTTTGACATCTAAAAGTTTTCATCTTCAGTTTAAGTAGTTGCAAAGGATATAATTTCCTAGCGTGCTGTAACTATTTACACTTTGAAATATAATTATATTGCCTCTTTTAAAAATAAATCCAATGGAATATAAACGCTATAGTGAAGGTGGGTATCAAATCACTACAGTGCTTATATTTCTTTAATAGCTGGACATTTTATAACACTCCTTTTGATTCTTTATTTGTAATAGTCTTTAATTTTTAGAACAGTTTTGGGTTCATGGAAAAATGAGTGGAAGGTAAGGAGATTTCCCATATGTCCCCATCTCTTTTTATTCTTTTTTTTTTTTTGAGGAAGATTAGCCCTGAGCTAACTGCTGCCAATTCTCGTCTTTTTTGCTGAGGAAGACTGGCCCTGAGCTAACATCCATGTCCATCTTCCTCTAATTTATATGTGGGACACATCACAGCACGGCATGCCAAACAGTGCCATGTCCGCACCCAGGATCTGGGCTGGCGAACCCCGGGCCACGAACGTGTGCACTTAACCACTGTTCCACCAGCCCGGCCCCCTCTTTTTATTCTTGAATCCACATTTCTATTCTATTTCCACCACAGAATTTTAATCTAAGGTAATGTTATTTTATGCTTAGAAGTTTTAATTGACCACTTTTTCATAATTTAATGTACAAAAAAGGTACTAATTGAAATTTTTAAATATTAAATATCCTTTGACCATAGAGTCTAAGTACTTAAAAACTTCGTCTGGATTGAGTGATCATTTATTAGTATTATATATGAGTCTACTAAAATTTTTAAAATAGTTAATAGATGTAAGTAAAATTTTATTGGAAAAGCATCTCTCAGTGAAATGAGTGGGGCTTCTTTTTAAATTAATTGATTAGTTCCAGCATCCATGGATGAATATTATTTACTGTTAGAAAAAGACAGGGTTCAGTATCAATTTTATTCCTCCTTTGCATTCTTATAGATGTAGATGCTGAGGAACTTTCCTCAAATAAGTAGGTAAGAATAGAAGGAATTTTGTCATAGCAATGTCACTCACTCTTTGATCTTCTGAGTTCTACGTAAAAGAAATCACATACTATTCTGTCATCAAAAATTATTTTTATAGTCCATTATTTGACAATTGATTAGGACATCTTTTACTGCTGTTGATGAAAAATTGGAGACTACTTGACTTACGAGGTGTTAGAGTTGAATTGAGTACCAATATTTGAAGTTGTTTCTTGGTTTCTCCACCCCATAGTAAAATGTGAGATGGGTGAAGAGTGTACTTTTCTTCTGGAAAGTGAGAGTTAGGTGATTGTAAAAGGGGAGAAAGGGGAATGGACTTAACAACTTGAATGCCACTGAGCTGTCAAGCTTATCAATTTTATGAAAAATATGTATATATGGAATTGAGAATTTACTATTAGTTAGACAGATTAGTTAAGTACCTAATAGTTGAGGAAACTAATATCTTCAAACTTACCTGTCTCCCCCTTGGAAAGTTTTTTGCACCCCATGGTATGCATTCCCTAGTTTGAAGGTTATTGTTTTACAGAACAGCAAATTGACCAGTTGGCTGGATCCATCTGGAAAGTTACTATGAGGCTGATCTGCAGTCTAAAGCACAACTAAGGAAGAAATGTTTCAAAACTTTTGACTTGGTTCCACTACTACAGAGACAGCCAGTCTAGTACAGAATGAGCCAATATTTTTCTGCCAAAAAACATGAAAACTTCTCATGGATGGAATGTCATCGCCTGGGAAATAAAAAACATGTGTTCTTTGGTAGCGCTTAGAGATGCCTGCTTTCATACCTGCATCTAGAACCACAGGCAGTTCCCCTCCGCCAGGTGAACTGAAGAGACAGCTCCCGCCACAGAAGTGGTGCTGTGCTCACATCACACAACAAAGGTAATTTCTTGCATTTTGTACAGCATTTACAGCTGGTTTGGATTTACGTTTTTTCAATGAAGGCAAGATGAATTGGGGATTTCCTTAAACACTTCTAGAGAATCTCAGATGCCTATAAGCCAAGAGGTTGAAATATTTGCGATACAAGTGAATTCCCTTGGCATGAGAATTTAAATGAGTCCTTCAAATGAAAGAAAAAGTATAAATTAATTACGATGAGTACTTGTGATGTTCATGTGCAAAAGAATCTGACTGTATATGACTGCTGATAAGACGTGTTGAGGCTTTCTAGAGGGGATTGTGCAGGAGCAGTTGATAAGCACGTTGCTATGATTAGGACGTTGACTCCAGTTACCTCGATGTCAACATAGTCCATAGCCCCATATAAGAGTAATGGAGATGCTCAGCAAATAAGTATGTATTGCTAAGGGTTTCAAAGAATATCACACGTGTAATAGACCATGCTATTTTGAAACCTCTCCTTAAATACTACTGATTTATACTACTCTTCTATACTCTTAATTCAAATATTCAGGTAATAGATAGCTACTTAAGGAATTTCATTTTATAAGATTAGTTTTACTCTGAAGTTACAGTATTGACTTATGGGCTTTGTCTTGATGTGGGGGAAGTGACGGAGGGGGTGATGGGCATGTGAGGAGAGGGAGAAAGAAAGCTGGCATGGAAGAAAAAACATAGTTTTACATAAACCAGAGAAATTTGGGTCTCAGTTCTACTAGAAAGTAACAAGCCGAGTGGCTTTTTTTACTTCTCTCGGTTCTTATCTGTAAAATGAATATAATACCTCCCCTAACAATCTCAGAGGATTATTATGAAAATTTAGAGAGAAGGACCGTTCAAAAAGATTTTGAAAACTTCAAAGTATTATGCAAATGAAGGCTGTCAGAGAATAATAGGCTTTATGAAGCCTAAATTCGTTATACGTTATTGCTCATGGTGATGGGAAATTTAATAAAAGCCGATGATGGACTGATTCTACCAGGACCTGCTTCATCGTCCTCCTCTGCAGCTGACCTTTGCCCACAGCTGGGGCCCCAGCCTCTGACTGGGTCCTGAAGGCTGAGCCCTGTGCTGCTCCCCACCACCAACCTAGACTGTGGTAAAGCATGAGGTCTGTAAGGGGTCCTAGCCAGCTCTCTGGGATGCCTCATTATGAAACTCCCTGGCAAATGTTACACAACAAATTTTCTTTTCCGCGAACAAAGGAAACCAGTAGACTACGAACCATTGTTTTTCGGCCAAATGGGCCAAGATTTCTGTATCCTTTTCCTATAAGACAAGATGTAAATTTGCATTGAGTGAGAATATATAACATCTGCAATTCCCTGCTTCAAGCTCGTTTATTTAGATTAGGGAGAAAACTGTTTCTTGGATCCCAAATAAAGCAAAATAGAGTAGTAATGGGCTTTCACCATAGACACAGTCTCTCACAGTCTCTCTGCGAGGAAAGTAGCAAGGAGAGTCAGAACTCATTGGAGCGGGCAGTGATTGGGTTACAAGGTTGCGGACAATCCCGTACAACATACTGCCAACTGTCAAGAGGGCCTGCTGAGTTTGGGGACAAAGACCATCCATTTGATTCAAGATTCCTACCTTCAGGCTAAGGGCCAAAGGCACTGTGGGTAATATTTGAATGCTGCTAAGACAAGATTTTATCAAGTGAATAAAGGGTGTGTGGAATGATTTATCTGGTGCCTGACTCTTGGTAACCTGGAATATTCTCCTTACTGTAATTAAAGAAGTCTCGTCTGCCTTAGAGAGAGGAGACATCTCTATTTTTATTCAAATCAAATACAGAGGTCTTATCGTAGGAACTGCCCAGTTCCTTACTGTGGGGTTTCTCAACCTCTGCCTACTAACATTTTGGGTGTGACTGTCCCGTGGATTGTAGGATGTTTAGCATCATCCAGGGCTTCAATCCACTGGATGTCAGTAGTGCTCCCACAGTGCCACCCTCTCAAGCCCTCCACCCCTATCCCCCACCGTTATGACCACTAAAATGGTTTCCAGACATCACTAAACGTCCCCTGGAGGGAAAATCACTTCTGATTGAGAGCTACAATATTAGTCCCTCTATCAGCATTACTCTTACCATCGCCTCCATCTTCTTTCCTCCCATCGCCATTCCCAGGACTGGAGTCTTGAACCTGAATTTCTTTCCAGGGACCGAGGTTCAATCTTACCTGATGCCAACTGACAGTATTTTAGAAGCACTTATTTTCATTAGTTAACTAATTAATTCACCTGTTTATCCACACACCAGCATTTATTGAGTGGCAACTATGAACCAGGCACTGGGATTATGAGGATGAAGTGATCCATTGCATCATAGGCAATGAAATAAAGCCACGTACCATCTTTAACAATATACTACTGGATGGCGGAACACTTGGTTCTCTGTTGGGGACAATTTGCCAACAAATCCACCGAAAGTATTGCTGAAAACAGCTCAGAACAACTAGTGGAGACTGTGCTGTGGATATCCCTGGAAGGTTCTCAGACTATGTGGAACAGAAAGGGACAGCACCTCAGGCCTATGCCACTTTCCTAATTCTTACAGCACAGATCTCTGCATAATGGTCTCTATTCTGTATAACTCTGAGTTCTAAACTGTCCAAGACTTCTCATCTGAGCTTACCTGGTCAGAGCCCCTAAGTTTTGTGTGGAAAAGGAGGGAAGCTTCAGCTCTGCAATGAGAACCAAAATCTCAACACCATCCCCACCTGGCATCAGCACTGCTTCCTCTGTCCTGTTCCTCTTGGGTCAACCCCACAATACTGGAGCCCCCTGAGAACTTATAACCAGGTATAGGTCCAGAATTTCCAGTGGAAGATGGCCTTCCTGGCAATTCAAATATTTGAATCGAATTGCCAGACCTACTACTAGCAACTCAATTTCAAATGTTAACATGTCATTTCAACATTGCTGTGGTCTTCCAGAGGTTCACAAGTGAGGTGTTTCATCTCCTACTGGGCTCAAAAGTAATCACCTATCATCCTGATAGGCTCATCCATTCTATAGACCCCTACTGAGGCCAGGCAGTGTGTCCCAATTATCTTGAGATACTTATTCAGCACTTACCTTCTTTCAAGCTCAAATATAATTCAAGTTTTTGCACCAGCTCAGACTCCCACCAATCTAGCACAGCAGGAGAGATGGAGATTGTTTTCACTCATCTTCATCTAGAAACATTCAAGTGAAATACAAACCCGTAGCCTGCAGTCCGCGCCAGCTCAGATTCTTCCACCACTCTCTCCCGGCATGGGGGACGGGGGTCATTTTCACAATCATCCTCATCTGAAAAGTCTCCGCAGTCATTGTCACCGTTACACAGAAGTCGCTTCTTTATGCATCTGCCTGCAATCAAAATCAGGAAAGATGCCATGTGTCTAACGCAAATTTTCTCCCTCTTTCTGAAGTTATCAAATGGACTTTAACGATAGATGGCTGACATATATATTTGAATTCTTTGTATAGAATATATATGTGGCCCTCTTTTGGGCCCCTTTCACACTTGGAAATATGAGCATCTGGAGCACATTTCTTTCTTTTCCCTTATGAGTGCACACAGAAACCCACAACGAGCAACAGGAACGCCAGGATTACCTGTACCGCACTGAAAGTCATTTCCACAGTCATCCTCAACCTCTTCGCAGGCCTCAGTGGGCACACACTGTCGTCTGTCTCCCACAGCATCAACGCACCTTTGCCCATTAAATTGTCCAAAGACTTCAATGCTCCTTGAGCGAAACTGCACAAAACCAGCTCGAAATGTTAGAATTTCTAATGCCAAAAAGGGATTATAACCTAAAACTGCCTCCATACCACTGCAGCCCTCCAAACCCATGTGAGTCAATGGTTTTAAGATGGAAGGCCTCAAAGCAGTCACTAATGTTACTTAAAGTAACACCTCACTTTCCAGGTTGGCAGTCTCTTCTACAGAATGTGGCTCCTCATCACACTGATTTAATATACTGTGCAACATTCGCATTGCTCAGCAAAGTTAGCATCATCCATTTAGATACTTATCTTTCCCTCTCAGTTTGGAACTCAGCTGGGGGCCTTCCTGCCTCATAGTCAATCCCTGGAGATGCTGGCAATACAGTTTCCGTTTAGGGACATCAGAGGTGAATGTCAACGAACGCTTACCATTTGTCTGAGGCAAGGGTCACATTCCGACCATCCGCTCCAGGAGCTCATTCTGCAGTCTATGGGCAATGGAGTGCCACTCTGTTGTTCTGGCTCTGGGGCATAACTAAGATAATAGAACATGTCAACTTGCATTGACCATTGTGCCCGCCTTGTTCCAAGAAGTCTTCACAAATCAGTTTAATTTATTTACTAATTTTTCCCATTCCAAATTATACTACTTATCCTTTCACTGTATCTCTCATTTGACATTTGATCACACGCTGTTTTGTATTTTCAACTCGTCTTTTTGTTTAATTCTTGTACCGTATCGTAACTTAACTTTCAACTTAACAACAACAATAATAATGGTGATGAGAAAAACTAGCAAGTCATCCTGCTACGCGTTTTACATTGATCAGTCTTACATTGCCAACTTGCTCATGAACTCATTGAAGGTAGAAACCTTGTTTCCCTTTGCACTCCCCAGAGAGTCTGGGAAAGCGTCCAGTTGCCTGGTTCTCTTGCAGATTTTTTTTTTCTCCCAGAATCCCCCCAGTACATAGTTGTATATTTTAGTTGTGGGTCCTTCTAGTTGTGGCATCTCTTGCAGATTTAAGTCAGCTGACCCAGTCATTCCTGTAGCAGCACCTCATAAGTCAAGCTTTCCCACCCCTGCATTCTGTGTGTCTTGAACTGGAAGCCTTACCACTTCACACTCCACTTCAGGACGTAGTCCTCATTTTTCTGAGTTTTAACATATGTATTTTGGCACTTATAGCTTTCTCTCCCACCCCCAGACCCCATCCTGGGCAGTGCCTTTCTGATTTTGATCTTTTCTTTTTCTCTTGGTTCACCATTTGGATCTCTTCTGGTTGCAACTCTACATTGGATTTATTATCTCATTCCATGACAGAAAAAAACTCAAAAAGCAAAAGCCACCAAACAAGAATCTTATAAACTTCCTGCCCCACTTGCCTGAACAGGCACCTATCCTTTGTATGTGCAGCCTCTTGCTCCAGAGGGATGGCTAGGTAATGCCAGTGCCTCCACAAAATCTCCAGAGTCCAGCTCCTCTTTGAGATCTTGAGCAGTTGATTATATCCTCCATTTGAAACTTTCCCTCACTACCAACTCCTTTTCACCTGTAATAGAATGTGTTCAAGTCCTTCTCATCAAACATAAACAAGCAAATGAATGAATAAATAACACACTTTCTGAATTCTACATTTCCTTCCAGCCACCCACATCTCCCTCCTGCTTTTCACAATGTCACTTCTTAAAGGAATTGCTGTAAATATATTTGTGCTTCTCTCTCATCCAAAAAAAACAAAGTTTCATCTTTTCCATCAACTCTACATGCCTCTTTAGCTACCTCTCATCATCTCAGCCAACTTACTTGAAATAGTAGTTTGCACCATGGTTTCTTGTTCCTTACCTCTCAATCTCTGCTCAACCCTCCGGCCCCAAGGACACTGCTCTTGCCAAAGTCAATGATAACTGCCATGTGGCTCCCTTGGCTCCTTTCAGCCCTTATCTTATTGACTTCTTCACAGCAGTCAATGCAGTTGACCACTCTTGCTGTTTAAAACACTCTCCTCCCTTGGACTGAATGACACTGGATTCATTTCTTCTTTCTTCTCTGCCCACTTGTCCTACTCTCCTATGCAGGCTCTTCCTCCTTTGATAGTCTCTGAAGTGCTGTTTTTCCTCACGTTCCTGTCCTTGGATCTCTTTTTTTTTATTCTCTACACTTTTTCCAGGGCTTTGGTTTCCATGTGTATGCTAATGACTCTCAGAGATAAGTCTGCACTCCAGACATCTCTCCTGAATTTTGAACTCTTGGATATAACTCCCAGTTGGACGTCTGCACTTGGATGTCTTCATGGCTCATTGAATTCAATGTATCCCAAAATGAATTCATTATTTTTCCTCTTGTCTTAAAGCTGCTCCTCCCCCTGTATTTATAGTCACAGTAAACGTTAGTTTCGTTTATGCAGTCACCCTAGCCAGAGACTTGGGTGTTACTTGTCTTGTTCTGCATGCCCCATTTTCATCTCTCATATCTAATCAACCACTAAAACCTATTGTTTACAGTCTCGTACATGACTCTCAAATCTGTCCATCCTTCATCCCTTTTAGACATTTCTCTGGTCTACGCTAACACTATCTCTCTCTGGGAGAACAATAGTTTACTTCTAATCCAATTTCCATGAATCATCCAAAGGGACCTTTTAAAAATGCAAATTTGATTGTACCATTCCCCTGCTGAAAATCTTTCAGTAGCTTCCCATTACTCTTATGATAAAGTCCAAATTTTCTAACATGGTGTGGTAGACAGAATAACGACTCCCAAAGATGTCCATGTCCTAACTCCAGAATCTGTGAATATGTTACCTTACATGGCAAAAGTGACCTTGCAGATGTGGTTAAGAGATTATCCTGTATTATCTGGGTGGTCCCATTCCAAACATGCGAGCTCTTAAAACCAGGAGTTCTTCAGAGAAATGTGAAGACAGAAGAAGCAGGAGAAATTCAAAGCGTGAAAAGGGACTCTGCTGGCTGTTGCTGGCTCTGGAGATGGAAGGAGGTCATGAGCCAAGGAATGTAGGCAGCCTCTAGAATCTGGAAGAAGCAAGAAAATAGATTCTTCCCTAGGGCTTCCAGAAAGGAACACAGCCCTGCTGGCGCCTTGATTTTAGCCCAGTGAGACCCATCTCAGACTTCTGACCTATAGAACTGTAAGATAATAAATTTGTGTTGTTTTAGGCCACTAATTTGGTAATTTTTTACAGCTGCAATAGGAAACAAAGACACATGGTCTAGAGAGCTCTCCATGGCCTATCTCCTTTCTAATTCCTCAACTTCACTTCTCTACATCTAAGCTCCAGCCACGTTAAACTTGAAATTCCCACAATAAGCAACGTTTTCTAACGTCTTCAGGCTTTGAAACCTCCTGTTCCCTGTTTACCATGCTGATCTCATATTAGACATAATTTCTTTTCCCAAGAAACTTCCCTAACCTTGTGTAGTTTACTTTTCTGTGTACACATTCTTATAGCATCTTGTTCTTCTCCATATCATAAGCTCCTTTGCAATGATTTATGTCAATTAATTTACTTCTTCACTGATTTATCCTCTTATTCACCAAATATTTACTAATTGTCTACTCTTTGCTAGGCGTGGGGATATAATGGTATGCAAAACAACAAAACAAAATAAAACAAAAACTGTGATCCCCAAATAAACAAAGCTTATATTCCAGACAAAAATATCAGTGAGCTAAGGAACTTTCAGTCTTGTTCAGCTTCCCTATCAAGTACCTGGAATATACCAGATGCTCAGTAAGTGTTTTTTGCATGAATAAATAAGTAAATGCAATGAAGGGGAGGAAGTCCTTGATCATATTGTCTGGGACAGACCTAGGCCTATATTTCTCTAGATTATGGTCTCTTGGTGAGCCATTCACATCATATTTGTGCAAGATTTGCTTGTCATTAAGGATGGTTTCATGACTGGAGACACCACTTTTGTAAGCCTGACTCTTGCCTACACCATCCAGAAAATCAAGAGGCCTCATGAGCTTCAATCTTTGAAAAGTACAGGTTGAAAGTGTACTACACAAGCTGCCAAAACTCCCTTGAAGAACCTGCTTTTCTGGAAGTCTGAGTATTAGTGTATATCTGAAACCACACGGCTGAGAAATTCTCTGCTAGAACTTTTCCATAAAACTAAGGCCTCATCTGGAATAGACAGGCTTCATCAAGAGGCATTGGCAGATGCACCTTTATGATTTATAGCAGTGGGTCTCAATACTGATTGCACATAGTAATCCTCAGACCTTAAAAAGGGGAATTATAAAATTGTGATCCCCATTCCAAACCAACTCAGTTAAGGTTTCTGAGGATAGGCTCCAGGCATCGATGTTTTTAAAAAGTATTCCAGGTGATCTCATGTTCACACGATATTGAGAAACATCATTTGACAACATCTGGGTGATTATCCATGAACTCTCAAAGGGTGGAATTCAAGTAGATGTCCGGGTGCTCTTTATACCAATATAATCTAAGCTGGAGGCCACTATTGACCTGAAAATGTCACTGAGCTGGCCTTTCATTTGTTTCAGGAATTACTCTAGGCTCTACGTATTAGTATCTATATGGATCTTTTCAATATCTTCTAGTTTCTCCAGTATTAGTCCTGTTGCCTTCAAGTGGATTATCTGCTCCTATCTATCTTTTTTGTATTCATCACTTACTTAGATGATCATGTTAGCATTTTGTTGTAACATCTCCCTCTAAGAGATTACTTCCTTGGTTCTAGAAACCACACCCTATAGACAATAGTATGACATCTTTATCTTTCTCACCTGCCACTGAGACCACCTTCAATGAATAACTAGTTCCGAGGGTACAGTACAGACTGGAGGAGCATGTATGGAAGGTAAAACCCACTGCAAATACTCCAGAGTGCATTGCAATCCTTTGCTGGGCAGGCTAGAACCCAGCCAGTGATGCGGGCTGATGAGAAAGGCTGTTCATCTGTCTCACACGTAAGTGACCAGGACCCTGCTCCAGGGGAACTGGCATTGCCTGTAGACTGTTCTCTCACATCTTTTCATTAATAATAGCCCCACATTAACTAGGGGCAAACTAATTCCCTTCTTTCTTAGCTTCTAACTTTAAGGACTCCTTTTCTTTTTTGCAGATTTGACTCATACTTTGGACTTAGTACAGAGCACCAGATCTTTGCCTTTGATCTTTTATTGCCCTCCTAGACCATAATTTGGACTCATCGCCTGAATGATCCAACCTGGCCCCATAGGAAGGTCCTCACAGATCACACTCTTGCCCTGCGAGCAAGATTTATACCCTTCTAGATATTAAGCTCAGGGTATTTATTAGTGGGCTAGGGCTGCCATAACAAGGTACCACAGGCTGTGTGACTTAAATGTCTGAATGACTTTTATTTTCTCACAATTCTGAAGGCCAAAAGTCTGAGATCAAGCTGTCTACAGGGCTGGTTTCTTCTGAGGACTCTCTCCTTGACTTGTAGATGGCTGTCTTCTCCCTGTGTCTTCGTATGGTCTTTCCTCTGCACTTGCTTATGTTCAAGTTTACTCTTCTT